GCAATGCCCTCCAACGGTCTCGGGAGCGATGCCAGCCCATCTTGTCTTACGAGAGCAGCACACCGATGAGCATTGCCTGGACGGCGGAAGCTCCAGAGAGGGAGGGAGGGAGGGAGGGAGGGAGGAGAGGGAGGGAGGAGAGGGAGGGAGGGGAGGGAGGAGAGGGAGGGAGGGAGGGAGGGAGTTGAGTTTAGGAGAGGAACAGAGCACGTGAGGAGCGACAGGGGAGGGGGCGAGGAGTCGCAGCATCGCATTTCGGGGGCCAGCGTGAGGAAAGAAGGCGGGGACTGAGTGGGGATGAGGGGCAATATTTGGGACCAGTGATGCGAGTGAGTGGGGATGAGGGGTCACTGACTGAGGTTGTCATGAGCTGAGCAGCTGGTTTGACTGATGCCGGCGGTTTGGTCAGAGATGGAAGGGAGGATGGAGCGAGAGGAGAGGAGGCAGAGGAGGCAGAGGAGGCAGAGGAGGCAGAGGAGGCAGAGGGTAGCCCAGAGGAAGATAGAGTACTACGGTAGCCTCGACTCACGTAGAGGTAGACTGAAGAGCAGGGAGAGCAAGGAGAGGTCAGCATGATTTCTATTAACACGATAAATCAGGGAATTCCCTGGAGCCTCTGCAAATGGCAAAACTGCTCGACAAAGAGAATGGTACATTTGATGCTGGGGGTCACAAAGGAGATCTGAAATGCAGTAGTCTACACGGCTGCTGCTGTCGCTGCCGTCTTAGCTATCCTGCTCGTCTGCTCTATCGTAGAATCGCTCCGCCTTCCCATGGTCTTGCTGCATCCGTTACGTGCTTACCTGACATTATCTCGTGGCAGTGCGCCATACAAGTCTTCCTCATTGGCGTTGTGAGTCTGAAGTGGGAGGAGGACAGCTGGCTCGCCACAGGGCCGAACCGACCAGCTCGTCTGTGCTGTCAGTTCACCATGATCCTCATCCCTTTCGCCATTTTCGGTTGGCTCGTCGCTCTACTAAGTGACGCCCACCAGCCTCTCTCATCGTCCAGTGACATGCTGTGGCAGTTGCGTCAGCGCTCGAGACGCCACCTCCTGCTCTGTACTGACAGACTGAAGGGAGGACCCCCCCTTTACTTTATTGTACACTTAACTTGCTATCTCACAATCTTCTCAGAAGATCATTCTAGTAAATTCATCATATCTCGCAGAACGTCGCGATCGGAAGCGAGTTGATCAGGGTCGAGCTGGAGGAGCGTCAGAGTCTCCCCGGGCAGGACATTGAGCACCTGAGGTGTGGAGAGATCGAGATGAATCGCACGGGAGACATTCTCAGCCCGTCGACGATCACCGAGAAGAAGTTGGCCTAGCGCAGCAGTAAGAGCAGAAGGCCAGCTGAGGCAATGGGGCCCCGCCCTTACCTTGGGGTTTGCAGCTGAGCAGATTAAGCGGCTGACGTCTGCTCTGATAACGTGCCCCCCTCCACTGTTGCGCGTGACGTTGACGGAAGAGCTGCTCCGAGTCGGTCACAGAAGGTCGATGGAAGGAGGACGGATTTTGGGAGGAGGACGAGGACGAGGACGAGGACGAGGACGAGGACGAGGATCAGGACGAGGAGGAGGAGGGGCTGACCGGATGCGTTTGTTCCTCTCCTTGAACGACCTCATACACACGGCCTGACCTCACGTCATACAAGAATCCCTCAGATCTAGACGTGCCTGCATGCTGAGAGGTGCCGAGGGAACGAGCTCATTCCGCCGCAGTTGAATGTCCGTGTGCACGCCATGCGAGCAGGTCTGCAATCGTCAGAATCTCCTGATACCTTCACGCCGATCTTACCTTGAGAGCCTCCCCTCCTCCATTCGTCACCCAGAAATCCAGTTTGACGTCCAGCACGCTGTTGGCACTTGGTCCCTCCTGTACTGGATCAGCAGCTGCACACAAGCCAGAAGTTGTGACCTCCTCGATTGCTCGTACAGACAGCGAGGAGATCAAGGGGAGCGTGTGCTGCCTCACTATGCCGGCATAGCCGGGCTCCTCAATCAGAGAAGGGATCGGATTAGAGCCTGTCATGCTGTCTGCACAAGTGATGAAGGCCTGCAAACACTTGCAGTGAGAAAAGCTCGTTCCCCCCTCCCCCCACCATGCCCCCTTCTCCACACCCTCTACCTCTCCGACTACGAGCTTGAACGTCCATTTGGCCTGTGAGAGGTAGTGGAACAACAATTCATGCACGCGAGTTTCTACGGCTGCAGGCAGGGTGAGACTAGAAGAAGCAAGAGGAGCATTACCCTCCATCCAAAAGTCTGCTTCACCATCTGCAATCTCGAAGCTCGACTCCCACAGTTCTGAGCAGAAGAGCCGCAAGTACTCGCTGTCCTTGCTGCTAATGAGCTGGGCTACCAGCGAGTCTCGTCCGCCTCGACCCAGGGGGATCAGAAAGATCTTGAAGCAAGGCTCTGCCTGACAGTTGAGCATCTCCTGGAGGAAGAGGTGCAAGAACGAGTCTCCTCCTAAGATTCCGATCCGCATGACAGCAGACCTGTCCTGACGCTGCTGCTTCCTCAGATGGGCAGAGATGACAGCCACAGCAGCTCGGATCTCCAGGTAGCAAGCGATCTTCACACAGAATCTCCCCAAGTCCTGCGACGTGCTGGCTCTCGCCTCCGAGTCTCTCCGTGTGAGGACGTCGTACAAGTATCTTCCACGAGACGATGAATGGTTACAGAGCAGCACCAGGCTGCCCCCGTCCAAGCTCGCGGAGTCCGAGAGGATGCTTTCGACCCTCGCAGTAACCTCCGAGTGCTCCCCCCCTACGTCTTCCGATGCTCTCCTGTCAAACCCGGCCATATGTAGGACCCCGTCATCGAACACCGCCTCGTCCTCGCCAGCCTCCTCCTCCAGGTCTCCTACCGCAGCACTGGACGCGTGCTCCTTCTGATTCTTGGCTCTGATGCGGGCATACTGGTTTCGGACGACGCGAACGGGGGTGAGAGTCATGCTTGCGATCTTCTTTGTTCCCTTGAGCACCTTCGATCGGAAGTTCTTTGCCCCGTTCTCACGATCAATGTTTGTGCTTGCGATGGTGTTGCTGGTGGGGAATACGTCTTCCTCAACCTCGTCGATGAGATCGACTCCATGCTCGTCTACGGTATCAAACCTTTCAACCCACTCATCTTCATCTTCCTCACTCTCGAGCATATCTTCTTCTTCGTCTTCGCTCGCTTGATCTTCTCCGCTCAAAATCAGTTCCCTTTCATTCGCGTTGTCGTCGTCAACTTCCGGCCACCACCGTGAGATGTCGGAGAAGTCAACGGGAAGGGACTCAAGCTGAACGTGCAGGCGAACGATGGGTTCGTTCACTGACTTCTGCGTATGTTTCAGCCGACCTGTGCTATGGAGCATCAAGACACTCCCTTCCTCCAGGGGGGCCTGGATGATATCCGCCAGGTTCATCGAGCATTCGGCGATGATCTTGTTCACAAGAGAGCGCTTCGAGCGCTTCTGCAGGAGGATGCGGATGGCGTCTGAGTTGTTCTTGAGGTTATGGAAGTACTGGAAGTAGAAGTTTACGTTGACGGCAAGCGAAAGCGAGTCGCTCTGCTGGATTGGGAACGACCCGGAGGTGAGGGCAGGTTTGGTCATTTTCATCCTCCTTGCCGAGTCGCCTAAGGGTCTCCCATCGCTCATAACCACAGTCAGCTTGATGTCCGACCTTGAACTGGTGAGCTCCCGTAGGGCCTCCAATCGCGAAACACGCAGAACACATATCCTCCTCCCACAGTTCTTCATCCATCTCCGCTCTAACCCTGGGATGCCAGAAAAGAGATTTTGACACTTGTCCTTGTCCTTAGCTGAACTTTCGCCCATCGACTTTCCATTTCCTTCTCTTTTGTTTAGTCCGTGTTCGCTCATTTCGACTCGTTCCTTTCGATCAAACTCTCAATGATTCTTTCAAAGATGAAGTCTCTTGATCGTCATGTTTTCATCTGCATGTTCTCATCTTGATGTTATGATCTGCTTCACTCCTCCCTTCTTCTCTTCTTCTTCTCATCATCATCTTCTTCGTCCATGCATGATCACGTCTCCGACATTTTGAGCGCCTTATCGAAGGAACGACTTTACTCAACCAGTCTGTTTTATTTTAACTCAAATGCGATACAAAAAGTCAACTGGTAGGTATCTCAAGTCTGCCTCAGTATATGAAATAGATAATTTGAGAGGCAGTGAATGGTCTCCCCTCTGCTGTTTTATTTTTCATCCATTGAGAATGGAAGGAGGAACTTTACTGCGTCGCCGTGCACTGCCAGCATGCGCGCGAGGAAGAAATGCAATTATGAGAAGACGATGACGATAGTGACGATAGACTGTATGCTATATGAAGACGATGACGACAGTGACGATAGACTGTATGCTATATGAAGACAATGACGATAGTGATGATAGACTATATGCTACATGAAGACGATGACGACAGTGACGATAGACTGTATGCTACATGAAGACGATGACGACAGTGACGATAGACTGTATGCTACATGAAGACGATGACGATAGTGATGATAGACTGTATGCTACATGAAGACGATGACGACAGTGACGATAGACTGTATGCTACATGAAGACGATGACGACAGTGACGATAGACTGTATGCTACATGAAGACGATGACGATAGTGATGATAGACTGTATGCTATATGAAGACGATGACGACAGTGACGATAGACTGTATGCTACATGAAGACGATGACGACAGTGACGATAGACTGTATGCTATATGAATCAGATAACGATTTCAGGAGCATGCAAAGTCCGTGTTTTCTTGGGCTGTTCTGCTGCTTTTGCATGCTGGTTCAATCCTCGGTTTTCTATGTTCTCGTGACCACACACGCTCAACTGAAGGGGATCCTGCCGTTCGATGTGTCTGAAGCGATCAACTAGTAATGGTCTGCGATATCATGCAGGGAACATGCCATCGAAAGCAACTTGTTTGATCCGAGGAGGAGAGGGGGTCGACGGTCTGCTCTATTTCTTGGAGAGCGGAAATGGTAGATCCGATGTGAATCGGAAGAGGAGGAGATAATCATCTGCCAGGAACAGCAGTGACGGGCAAGATCAGAGGGCTAAGGGAAGGAGATTACACGATCAAGATACATTCAGTGAGCTTTGTTGCTGATAGATACCCGTTAGGTCCAACAGCTTACAAACACGTTTTGTAGTTGGGAGACATCAGCAATGGCGGTAAGAGCTGTGGGAAAGTGTACAACCCGGGTGAAGAAGGCTCGAGAGCCTCGGAAGCAAGCGAGGCGGGCGATCTCGGACGATTCGCTGCAGGCAATAAGAGTCTGCGATGAATCCGCGGGTGACAGAGAGAGCAGACAGCAACGGGGCGATCCAAGTGAACGTCGTCAGCAATCGCATCCCTCTGTCGGGAAACTTCAACGTGATTGGAAGAGCTGTGAGGATGTCTCAGGCAAGCACGAGCCCGCTGACTCCCTTGTCTCACCAGGCGATCGTTCACGGCAAAGAGGCTCCTGCGACCGAATCTCGTATGCTCGCTGCCACCGTGCACCTGCTTCTCACCGCATACGTACAGGTTTAGCGTGGGGGGTCATCGGAATCGCAGACGAATAGCAGTCGTCTAGAGCGAGAGAGGAATTTCGAATGCTGATAACCAAGTTAGGTAGATGTCTATCGTTTCATGTCATTTTTACCTTCTCCTTGCCCTCAATGTAGAACAAAATACTCTTGACTGTCCGAATCTGTGCTGTCACGATTTGAACTGAGAACCATGAAGGTCGATGCGTATCCATCGAGACTGTACAACATGAATCAACATGAGTTCAAGCTACACAGTGAACATCTCACCTGCATGTTGTCAAGAGCTGAAGCTTGACGTTGATGACTGCCTTACGAATTTCCATAACTGTTTATCCCTTTGATCAACTAGCAAAATTCTCATATGTTTGAAAAGTCTAAACATCTATACAGAGTTATGTACTGCTTTTCAACTGATATCTTCTTGATCTCCTCGATTGCAAGGCTTAGGATAGCGTTCATGTCAAACTTGAAGGTAAATGGTAAGAGAGATCGCTGCCGGACATCGTCAGCATCAAAACAAGGAAGATATGACTATCAACAAGCTCTGCGAAGAATTTTGCTTCTTGTCGTCTTCTATCATTCTTCACAAGAAATTCGCTGATATTCAAAAGGCAAACATCAATGGAGGTTGCAGGTATTGAAGAATCACCAATCATCTTCATGATTCTCATTCGTTCCGTTCACAACCGGCTGAACCTGTCGTATCTATACAACATCACATCTCCATTCTCGATTTGAGACAAGCTTCCTCTCAATACCTGACTTCCTGTCTCGCTGCTAAACCCGATGGCGTGATGTCCAAGAAAAACGACAGCAAACTCGATCATACTGCAAGCCATCAGGGCTGGCACCACTTGGAGGCGTGCCTCACCTTGTTCGATCTTTCTTGTACTGGCTCTGGTTGAAGAGGCGAGAGGGAACGTCGTTGGCAGAGGAGTGGAGCTCTGAGAAAATGCAGTACAACTCGTTGACTAGCTTCCTCTCGAGCTGCCGTCTGGTGGTGTCCATGTGCTTGGACACTCGCCGAGTCTGCAACCCCCATCACGAGCGTTGCACGTGCAACAAGTTGGCAACCTGTTCGTTCGACCTGTGAGCAGCACAGAACAAAGCTCTTGAATGCTTCTGCTTGTCTTTCCCCGTCCACCCAAACACTCCGAGTTTCGAACAACCTTCGGGGGCTGCACATTTCTTGCCGTTGTTCTACGAAACCAAAGCACGTTATCTCACATCACTTTGCGATGAAAAGAGCTCATCACCTTGAGATCTACGTGATGCTTCAGTCTATGCAGGGCACAAGTTTCCTTTTCTCTCGTAGCCGCGTCTCCGAATGATGCCTGAGCTGTCTCTCAACAAACACGCAAAGATCGCTCAAGGAACCTGACGAACACAGCCTTCGTGTCGACATTTCTTGTTCTGTTCTGGTGGTCACATCCAAGACAGACAATGACATGTATCACCTTCAGGTCTAAGTATCCACTCGGTTTATGTAGTGTGCAGTACTCAGGTGAACCTCCGACAGGGCCGAACAAGCGCGTCTGTTGTTGGGTTACTTTTGGAAATGAATGTGACGATTTCTGCCTTCTGGCACCCTGGATAGAAGCAGCTGTTGCGCGTGATGATGATGTCTCCACTGTGCTTGTGTGCTCCACATCGCTGCGTTCGCCTTGTCAGAGATCCGAGCTCCAAGTCAAGCTCACTCACCAGAGGAGGTGACTGCTTTGTGGCCCCGTAGATGGCCCTCGATCGGCAGAACATGCACTTTCGTCGCAGAGAGATGACCTGGTAGATCTTGCTGAAGCATGCTTCCTCCGTACTGACAAGAAGCTCTGGGGATGTGCAGCTCTTGCATCGAAACTCTATCCATCGTGCATCTGACCGCCGCACTATCCCCATGGAGGCCACGTTCTTCTCGCAGCAATGGCAGGGGCACTCCTTCCACCACTCACGCAGCCTGCCGTGCATGCCAGCTGCTCCCTCTCCTCCCTCTCCTCCCTCTCCCCCGCCTCCTCCCCCCACGCTCACTGCCTTCAGCAGCACCAGGAGAAGCGCCCCCCGCATCATGCTCACAGCATGACGACTGCGTGGGAGGGCAGCGATTTTCGATTATGAGACCTATTAGAAAGCGTCCAGGGCAGCTCTGCTCTAATAGGCCCCTAGCCGCCACTCAGTCCCGCTCATACCATCATAAGTAGTTCCTGTCTCTCCACCACCACCACCACCTCCTCCTCCTCCTCCTCCTCCTCCTCTTGCTCCATCACCTGTTGGCTCCTCCCACCCATCCCCCTCATCTTGCTCCTCCTCTTGGCTCCTCCTCCTCCTCCTCCTCAGTCCTCCTCCTCCTCCTGCTCCTCCTCCTCCTCCTCCTGCTCCTCCTCCTGCTCCTGCTCCTCCTCCTGCTCCTCCATCTCCTCCTCTTACTCCTTCATCTCCTCCTCTTGCTCCTCTTGGCTCCTCCTCCTTCTTTGGCTCCTCCTCCTCCTCCTCCTTCTCCTTCTCCCCTCCTCCTCCTCTTGCCCCTCCTCCTACTCTACCTGTTGATCCTCCTGTTGATCCTCTTCTTGCTCCCCCTCTTCCTGCACCTGCACCTGCACCTGCACCTGCTGCTCCTGCTGTACGCTGTCGAATGTCTACTCCTGCTTCTCGCCTGGCTGCTTCTGCGCATTTCTTTCCTTCACTGGAAAACTGACGCCATGGGGCAGGAGCTGCTGATTTTTCCACGTGATGGATTTGAGGTGAGATGCTGTCATGGAGCTGAAAACTTTGGACGAGCCTGCGGAGCTTTCGGAGGACGATCTTTCGAGCGCTCTCTTGAAGAAGATCTCGCTTAGTGAGAGGAGGAATAACAGCTTGCAAGAGAGGATACGAGAGTTGGAGAAAGTGAGCCTTGACTGATGCTTGAAATGCTTGCTGATCCACATTCCTTCAGGAACTAGTTAGAGTCAAGAAAACCTCTTTGATTTCACGCAACAATCAATGGCTTTACTTCTGCAATGTTTGCAGGAGGAAGACAAACCAAGCGAACCTTAGGTCTCATCAGAAGTTGAAGTTCGACGCTCTGAGACGAACCTGTCCTTCAGGATTCACTTTGCAGAATGGAAAGAGACGACCATAGTCTCTGTATCATTCGTGAGAATCATCTTCCTGCAAGAGAGGTTTCACAAGCTCAAGGTCCTGTACAAGCACTTCTTTCACTGGTTTCTCCTCTCCTCTCAGGTGACGTCATGGCTGCTGACGTGCGTGCAATTGATGCTCAAGCATGTCAGAGCTCGTCAAATCATCACTTTGAGCCGTGGGAGGCACAGGAAGGACTTCCACATCCTCCTTCCCCGCAACCACCAGCACAAACTCACGCAGTCGGTGACTCTCACCACTGGCTGCTGTACGGCACAAACGGAAGGGTATCCCGAGCAGATTCAGACACCGCCTCGAGCATTGCAGATGCCAATGAGTCGAAGGAGAGGTCGAGATGGGAAGAACTGAACACGTCAGTCGAGCTTCTTTGATGACTCGTTATGACTGTTTCAAGCAGTTCGAGAACTTCATTGGAGAAGAAGCCAAGAGCAGGTAAAAGGATGTATCGTGCACAGAAAATTGATCTAACTCCTGATGAAGGGCTGGCAAAACTTTGGGGGATGGAGACTGCCAACACAACAGAATTTATGTAAAGAACAGACACTTAGCACATGTTTCCTAGCAAACTGGTTAATGCGAATACAAAGTTGTGAGTGTAATAGGCAGACTCAATCATGGCGGACAAGAATTCGATCTGAGAAATTAAACATTACGCTTTTGCTTGAGCGTATGAGAGTATATGGCGCGTCCATTCATGTCAATCCAAGTTGTGATCATCACATCCCCATCCACCTATCGTGTCATGTCAAACAAACAAGAGGGAGATCTCTCCAGATGGCGATGATACACCTGATGATGCATGAAGCCCGGGTCAACAGCTCCAAACTCCATCATGGGCAGGGGCTTGACGATGCCTCTCAAACATCCATTCCCAGATACCTGCGCAAGATCACCAACAAGGTAAAGGTTTGCAAGCACGAGTACATAGTACTGCACTCCGTTGTGCTGCAAGTGCTGATGGTTGTGATCATGACCGGAGATGTACGCGTCCACCTTGTACTTCTCCAGCAGCGGTTTCACCAGCTCTACCAGCGAGAACGTAGACCCATGCTCTCCACCGGAGTAGACGGGATAATGCCCTATCACAATGAGCCAATCAGCGGTAGACTGGGCGAGAGTCTCCTCCAACCTGATGCTGGTCAGAAACATCTAAGATGCTCAAATCTGCATCACCACAAAAGTTGTTCGGACGCGGCCTTCTGTCTGATATGAAACCTCGAGTCGTAGCGGGCGAGAGCTTCTGGTTGCACGATACCTTCACGGATCTTTTCTAGGAGAAGCGTTCTTCCATAGCCTTCGTCCAAAATGACAGTATCAACAAATACAAGCTGCAGCTGCTTGCCGTTGCTTCCAACATCTCGCACTGTTGTGTAGTAGTAGTTGGGAAGGATCCAGCGCTTGTCGAAGCCGGCTTTGCTGTAATCTATTTGCGCCTCGGGGTTGCCATAGTGATCATGGTTGCCCAACGTCACATACCAGGGGACGTTCATGCTCGGCTGATTGAAACGATCTCTCCACACGGAGTCGAACAAGGGGTCGTTCACATCCTGTACTCCGTGAAAGTAAAAGTTGTCTCCTACAGCCAGCACGAATTGCACTCCCGTCTTCTCGGCCACTTGAGCCATCACCCCAGCCACGGCCTTCTGAGTGGCTCCAGCAGAAATATGATTCGGATCAGGCTTCAACACACAGTTGTACGGCCCACAACCCCAGTCACCAATGGAAGCGAATGAGAGAGCATTATCTCTATACCTGCACACTCGTTACGGTGGCATACACAAGGAATGCTGCTGAGAATACTTAGGAAGCTCAACGAGAGGAAGAGGGTTGTCTGCTCTTGTGATCAAACAGGTCTCTCCGGGCTCGTCACACCTGTGTCCCTTCATTCAGCGGAGTGACCAGCTACAGCTCACGTACCTCCCCGTGTACTCCAAAGGGGCATCAACCTGTGAGGAGGGAGAGGGAGCAGTCAGCTTCATCCACCTCCTCCCATGTCTCCTCCTCCTCCTTCACCGCTAGCGACGCAGCGACGACCGTCAGCCCTACCAGCACCCTGACGCCATGACCGAGCATGTCCCTGGCAACGGGGAGGTCCAAAAGTGGTCCAGACGGTTTCCATTTAACGGAAAATGTAACGGATAAGAAACGGCCAAACGGCCCAGAGGGGTTCAAACATGTCTTGGAGCGCCATGGTAAGTAGGAAACACGAAATGACGAGAAGAGAAGGGAGGGGGGGGAGGGGGGGGAGGAGCAGGATGAAGAAGAGGGGAGGACAGGGAGGGAGGGCGAGAGAGAGAGAGAGAAGGATGGAGAGAGAAGTGGGAGAAGAGTTGGGGATATGATGTGGAGTGTCCTTGTAAAAAAAGGAACGTATTAAGAAACAAGTGCTGATAAAGAAGTTCAAGAAATTAGCATACAGAATAAGAGAAAATCAACTGCGAAAACAAATTGCATACGTAGAGCAGGGATACAAATGCATCTGTTGGTCAGGGATAGCACGATCTTACTGGTGTTGAAGGATGGCTATCGGGACGGGTACAAGCGAACTGGCAAGGTTAGCATCATTTCTTGATTCCCCTTTGTTTGGTCCTGATCGCAACGTGCATAGCCTGAAAGCAAGAGAGGCTTGGTGGATCGAGCAGCTTATATGTCCTTCCTCGAAACTCAAGTAGAGCAAATCTAGATCTTCCTCGTGTTGACTCGTTTGCAGCTGGAGCGAGTGACGGCATCATGCAAGACGGTGGAGGCCTACAACTGCAGGTTGAACACAATCCAGGTCAGAAGATCCTCAGACCATCGGCGAGTGAGCCTCTACTCGTTCATAACCTCTCTGCTTCTCCTCCAGGACTCTTTGGCGCATTTGGACTCGAAAGTGAGCAACAACACCAAGTTGATCTCTATAGCACACGTGATTGTTGCTGTCTCTTGCCGCTGCTCGACTCTGACTTCATGCCTGCTGAGCAGTCCTTTGCAGAACAAGTCGATGACGAGATGAAGCGATTCAAGAATGTGAAGTCAGCGCAGCTGCTGCTTCTCCTCTGAGATGTGCCCTCAGGTCTACAACAACAAGTTTGACCGCATGAGCGAGAGCGTGTCGAGGTTGATTGAGGCTCCTCCTCCTCCTCCTCTGACGGTCTTCTAGCATTCTCGACATACACCAGCAACTGCTAGGACGCTTGGAGAAGCTAGAAGTGAGCTATGATGACGTGCGTCTGAAACTTGTGACGTCTGATCTACCTAGGCACGTCATGAAGAGCATGAAAGAAGTCTACTGCATATGGAGGTGAGCAAGACTCGTCCTCCTCCACACTCATCACAATCTTCTTCTCATCCCCCGCTTGCTGATCGCTGGTTGTCCTGGTCTTTCCTGGGAGATTGATCAGAGTGTCAGGAACGAGTCACGATGGCGATGAACAAGCAGAGCATTCAAGTGCGACAGCCCGGCGTTTGTCGTTTGCCTTTCAGTGACGTGGCTGCAAGATTGAAGAGCGAATGATGGCAATGGAGGAGAGAATCATGCTCATGTTTAAGAGCCATGTACATCCCATCCTTGTTGCCCTCTCCTCCTATCTCTTTCCTCTAATTCTTTGCCTTCTCCTGTCATCCTTCTCTTCACCCATTCCATCCGTCCAATCCTCACTACTGATGACATGACGGCAGAAAGAAGACTCCCAGGCATCGATCGAGCGTGCGAGTACTCAGGTTCTCCTCCTTCTCCCTCCCTCCGCCTCTGACTCTCGTAGCTCCGCGAGTTGGGAGGCAGCATCAACGACATGAAGCATGAGACCAGCCTAGATCGAGATAAGATCCGACAAGTTGTCGCCGAGATGTCTCGGTCTTCTTTCTCTCCTCCTCCTCCTCCTCCTCCTCCTCCTCCTCCTCCTCCTCCTCCTCCTCCTCCTCCTCCTCCTCCTCCTCCTCCTCCTCCTCCTCCTCCTCCTCCTTTTCTTTCTTCTAAACATCAAACGCTCCCTCGCAGGAAATGCTCGAAAGAAGTTGAGCTCCTCTCTTCTTCTCTGCAGGAAAAGATTGACGATGTTGACAAGCGATCGATCAAGTCAGCAGCTTTGCCTACCTCTTCCTCTTCCTCTTCCTCCTTCTCCCCGCCCCTTTGCCCATTCGCTTCTCCTTGCTTTATCCAGCCCTCCCCTCTCCTGCTCTCCTTGCTTCTCATGTTTCCTCGCAGGCTCTCCTCTGACAGCATATCTCGCACGGACTTGGCTATCTCGCGCATGCAGGTGAACTTGGTTGCTCCGGCAGGAGGGTGACAAGCGATCAGTCGGACATGAGCGAGCTCGAGTCGCGCGTCAACGTTGAGATTCGGCGAGGTGAGGGGAGGAGGAGTCGACTTCTCTCACGGGCTCGCAGCTGCTCTTGACTCGCAAGAAGCCGAGCAGCAGCTGTCGAAGCACCTTGACGTGTCGCTTCAAGCGCTGCCGCGAGCCCTGCAGGAGGTGGACGCGGTGAGAGAAGAGAGAAGACGGTCTGAGAGGAACTCACATGGCGCGAGAAGATGCGCATGGAGATCGTGCGACTCGACAATGAGAGGCTGAAGGTGCGAGGAAGGAGCAGAGAGAAGCGGCTGATGCCTCTTGCAGCTCAAGGACTTGATGCTGAACAGACTGAAAGACGTAGATGAGGAGCTCCGCCGATGTTACGAGGTCAGAAGAGAGGTGGTGATAGTCATGATGAGATGTGGTGGTGGTGGTGGAGGAGGAGGAGGAGGAGATACAACGGGCGATGATGGAGGTGAAGGTGAGGGTGAGATGTTGTGTTGATTATGATGATGGAGGTGATGGTGATGGTGATGGAGATGGAGCAGAAAAAGATTGAATCTTCAAGCTTGTTGTTGAGGCCTGACCGAAGTCATGCCAACGACTTCATGTCATCCCACGATTACTTGGACAAGGTGAAGCCAAGACCTTCTGCTCCCTCCAGCTCCGCTACTTCTTCCTCTCCTGCTCTCCCTCCTCTCTTGTTCAGCTGTAGGCTGACGCTGCGATGTATCTGCAGGACGCCTCCAGGCACGAGGCCTCCAAGAGTCGGAGGAGAGAAGATACGTGGGAGGCAGGCGAGCAGGGCAGGGGGGCAGCAGCAGGAACGAGATGGAACGTGGGCGAGAAGAGAGACGCGAGGCTGACGGAGGAGGCGAAGCCCAGCTACAGTGAGATCAGAAGCCGATCCATGTCTCCGCAGAGAAGCATGCAGCTGCTGGGTGAGAGCTTGAACCCTCCTACCTCATCGCCCTCACTCCCTTGTTGTAGACGACACGCGATCAAGCCTGGAGCTGCGCAAGGAGGAGAGGAGGAGGCGACTGAAGGAGCTGTGAGAGCTCTGCTGCTGCTCGCCTTCTTAGCCCTTATCCTCTTGCAGGTACGACGAGCTTTCATCCCTCGAGATCGAAGAAAGTCATTTCAGGAAATAATACAAGTCGTTAAGTCTCCTCCTCCTCTGATGCTCCATGATCAGAAGCCGTAGATGAACCTCGACGTCCATCGTCCGATCTGGTCAGCCGGCATCTTGGTCAGCTTGCAGACTTCCGCCTTCACTTCCAGCTTAGAGCATAGAGATTGCAGCACTCGCGCGCAGTTTCGCAGGCAAACCTCCGAGTCTCGTCCTTCCATCAGGATGTCCACCAGCTCCTTCAGCCCCCCCTGCCTCGCGAGCATGCGGTACAGCAACGAGATCTCCACCGTCAGCTCCTCGTCCGCATGCCGCAAGCAGTATCTCAGCGCCTTCATGGTCGACCCTCCTCCTCCCTCCTGCGCGTACTCGTGACCCGCCACTGCCTCGCGCATGAAGGCATGCTCAGCGATGCCGTGCAGCGCCTGCACCGCATGCCACATGCACTGCATGGCTGCGTCGCCATCGTGTGCGGGCTGCAGCAGCAGGCAGTCCAGCAGGCTCTCAGCTCCCCTCCTCCACACGTCCACCGCTTGCTCGGGGATCATTACCCAGAACGAAAGCGCCTGTGCCGCGACCGCTCGCTGCTGGACCTCCAGGCTGCGCAGGAGGACGTCGATGGTGGCGTCGATGGCGCTGACGCCCAACTTAGGAACGAGCTTGCAGACCTCGAGGATGCGAGCCCTGATGCTCTCTAGCGGCTCGTTGGTTCCTCGCTCGGAGACGCGGGCAAGCACGAGGGAGGCATGATAGCGCGAGCGAGCGTCGGTGGCGAGGACGATCATCTCAAGTAGGATGGGGACAACGTTTTGTGAGACTATCACTGCGCGCTCCTCCTCCTCCACCGCGATCTCTGCCAACGCTCTCGCTGCCTCCGACCGCGCGCGATGGTCGTCAGAGCGGAGGGTCGCGAGCAGCTCCATCAGCCCCCCGTGATGCGCAAGGAACGTGAGCGCGGCTGACGCGCAGGCCTGCGTGTCGGCAGCGCCTGTGGCAGACTTGCCGTCAGTGACCTTGTCGTCGACACAGAGGGCGCGCGAGAGGAGGCGGCAGGTGCCCAAGGAGATGTCGTGCTGACGGAGGGCGAGGGAAGCAAGGAAGCGACGATTCTCAGGGTTTTCAGCAAGGACGGCGACGAGACAAGCAGCTTCAGACTGAACGAGGCAGCGGTCGGAGAGGAGGGAGGCCAGCAACGTCTCCATCAGGCTGCTCTTCAAGACCAAGTCTTGCATGCTCGCTTCCCCGATGCAGAGGTTCACGACCATGGCGAGGCCTGCGCTGAGCTCTTCTTCCGAGACCGAGGGGCGAGTGATGCAGTCGATGACTGGCTCTACCGCATGGCCGAACAGCTTCCAGTATCCCCCCAGCTTGCTCATCCGCCGTTTGATCGAAGGATGCAGCGAGCAGAGCGCCAAGACTTGCAGCGCTGCTGCTCGCGTCTCTTGTCTCCCCAGGTTGACGGCGAAGAGAAGAGCTTCCAACCCTCCCGCGTCAGCCATCGCAACGCTCGTCCTCCCGTCCATTGCAAGGTTCCTCGCGAGACTCATCGCGTCCATGCAGACTTGCGAGATGCTGCTGCTCATTAGGCGCACAAGAGGCTCGAGGAGCTCCGGGTGCTCTTGCAGCACTTCCTCCTCTCCGCTCGTCAGCATCGCCAGAGCTCCAAGCGCATGACCCTGGAGGAGAAGCTCCTCCTCCTCCTCCTTTGTCTCCATCGCCTCGACCATGTCTGCGTTCATGCGGAAGTGGAGGAATCCCTCGTCCCAAAGGGGCTTCGACGTCTCTTGCCTGCTCGTAACAAGCGCATGCCATTCGTCGCAGACAAAAGAAGCATCCTCCAGCAGCACGTTGTTGATCTGCTCATGCTGCAACCTCCGTACGATCTCTGTGATCGGAAGATGTTCGAGGGCGTCGCAGGGACGAGCTCGAGCCGCCCGAAACAAGTACTTGTTGACATCGATGAAGGTCATGCAGACGAACCTCTCCTCTTCATCCTCGCTGTGAGAGAAGACAAGGATGTAGATAATGGCGCTTCGCAGGTCATCCAGTTCAAACTCGAACACGTCAGACCATGAAAGCTCATCTCCTCTCCGTCTCTCTGTGACGATCTCGTGCTGACCGCACACAATCTTGAGCGTGAACTCCGCATCCCTCTTCCTCCCGACGTCTCGCAGTCCTCGGGCTCGTAGGCAACTTAACCGGATCGAAGCCTTCCGCTTCCTCGCTGTCAGCCCCACCAACGGCGCGACTCCGAACTTGTTGAGGATGAGCGATCGAAGCTGATCTCCGCCCTGCTTCCTTCCGCTCTCCCCTTGTCTCTGCCGCTGCGAATGCAGCATGGAGAGCATGGACTTTCGCTGAGAGTCTACGGAGGAGAAAGACTCTGGTGTGTTGCATCGCGATCGAGGAGGGGGGTCGAGGAACAGTCTGTTACCCAACAACGTCTCGTTATGTCGCCCTCTGCCCTCGTAGTCCATCACCAGCAGCGTCTTGATCATGCTCAGGCTCGTCGTCTTCAGTGTCCGCGTCGTTGCTGTCTGCAGCAGGTCCACCAGAAGCTGCATCCCCTCGTCTGCCATCACCTCCCGCGCGCTGCTGAAGTAATTCGCCATGGGCCCTCCCGCAAATCCGATCCAGTGCGAGGGGATGCGCATGAGCAAAGAGAGTAGATGGAGGGCTACCTCCTTGCAGTCGTCTGGGTGACCCTTCAAGATGTGCAAGAGGTCCTGCACCGCCTTCTCCTTCACCAGCTCTCTCCTGACGTCATACAAGTATGCAGCATCCGCTTCCGAGTAGTCGCTGTCGATCTCGTCAGAGCTCTCGCACAAGAGAAGGAGGGCGACGAGGCTTAAGAAAGCGTTTGGATCTTCCTTTCGCCTCGCTATCTTGAGGAATACATGGACGCCAATGTTCTTGGCTATCTTTCTGCACGTCTCGAAGCTTCCATGATATCGACCCGCTTTCTTGCTTCTCATGCTCAAGATGGTTCGAAGGATCAAGATGATTTGCTGCTGTGGATCTTCCTCTAATCCCTTCAGTACCGCCGAAGCCACGTCGTCGTTGAGCTTGTACAGCATCCTCAACTGGGTGAAATCTCAGATGCTTCTCTCTCGCGCACAGCTCTCACTCTTCTCTGTCGATTCTCTTCCGATGTCTTCATCACCTCCTCTATCAGTTGCCTGCCGCTGTATCGTAATTGCCTCTGAACCGCCATTCCGTTCTCCTCCGCTCCAAGATCTCGCAGCCATGAAAGCACTTGGTCGCAAGTCATGCGCGACACCGATGTCTCGGCATGGCTCGACTCCCCATACGCACCAAGAATTTTGATCGCTCTTGTGATCAAAACTTCTGATGCTGTAGAAACAAGACGATCAGAAGTTTGTTGGGAAGGTATGAACACGTGGTTACGGCCCTCTCCTCCTTCTTTCTCTTCCTCCTCCTTCTACTGCTGCTGCTGCTGCTGCTGCTGCTGCTGCTGCTGCTGCTGCTGCTGCTGCTGCTGCTACTTGGGCTGTTTCCCTTTCTTTACGTCCTCATGTCAACGCTTTCCTTGCTATACTCACCGCTTCCCCCATGGCGGTATTCCATGTTGCTGCCGTTACTGTTTCGTCGGTTACATCGCCGATATGCCACCGGGCCCGACTCAGAACGAGGCGCAGGGGATGCTATGATGATTCAATGGAGTGAGGGGCACAGCAAGTGAGCTTGACCAGCGTTGTTTATCTACATGCGCGACTCATTCCCGTGACTAGTCCGTCAGTTCTCAGCGAAGTTTCCATGCCCTGTCTCAGCCGCATGTTTCTGTGCTCCGTCACTGCCCTGAATCCCTTGGCCGCACACAAGGCATCTAAGCGAGAAGTTGGAGGTGTCTGTGAACTGTCGCTTGTCACGAAATGTTTTGACAAGGGCGATGGCGAGCTCCTCAGCCTGCAGGGCGTCAGCTCACCCCACGAGAACACTGGGAGGAGGACGAGCACCTCGAGGTCATCCACCCGGAACAGAGTCACTTCCTTGCGACCCTCGAGCTCTGAGATCGCATCGTAGTGTATCCCATCATACATGAGGTACATCCTCCGCGAGAGACCCCTGCCTTCCCCTGAGAGTTGAGAGTTTAGATAACGACTTGCCAACACCTTGCGAGTGGCTCACCGAATCTGTAGAGGCGAAGAGTCTGGCAGTCGATAGCGCAGATCTCAACTTGAAAGTGACCAGCAAGAATGCTGCACTCTATGGCCCCTCCCCAGCTCGAAGACTGCTGTATCCAGTGACTGTACTCTTGGTTGCTCTTTGACAAGACAGCCTCGCCTGGGCAGGCAGTGAGAATCGTCAACCTGCATCAGGTCTCAAGCTTCACAGTACTCTTCTGGATCTGACAAGATCACTGCCGAGATGAGCTCACGGAGCTCAAGGGCGCTACTGGTTTGGTGGATGTTGTCAACTGGCGCCATGCAGTAGGCGATGGAGTTGAACAAACAGGAGTTGTCGGAGGGGATCACCTTCCTCACAAACTTCCGCGAGGCAGCAGATTCTTCTTCTGCCATCTCCGACACTCTCAGCAACGTGCCACCTTCTACGCCCGCAGCACTCAAAGGAGTACTGGAGTTCAAGAAGGGCTTGAGCGTCTCTTGAGGAGGAAACCCCACGAGGATTTTCTGCCTGTTGGGAGGGATGCCAGTCTTGGCCATAATCTCCGCCTGCAGATCCCGCACAGTCTTGTCTCCTTCCAAGTTGATCTGGCATCGACCCGCAGGTCCTTGAACTCCGATGATCTGCGAGCACGAGTGATAAGACCGCCAGGAGGGGACGAGCAGCGAATGACCATTGCTGTGGTTGAGCCTTTAGCCGGAAATCCATCAGATGCTTCAAAAGTCAATGTTCAGTATTGCACTGGTCTATCCTTTGCTCAGCTCGACCCTTTAGCTAAGCTTCGCCTTCGTCATGATCTCCTTTTCATCGTCTCGTCCTTACGTGTCCTCCTTGCCTGGTCTCCTTCTCTTCATCTATCTTCATTCTCTTCACTCTTCCTCCTTGCAGTGAAGCTTCCACCACGATTCTCGCTCCACTCCTCTCAACTGTTGCTCTAGCATTCTCCTCTGCTCTCCGTGTCTCCTCCTTGATAGCTCACTTGATAGCTCAAGGTCCCTCCCCCTCCCTCCCCTTCGCTCCCCCTCCCTCCCCTTCGCTCTTCTTTTTCCCCATCATTTTGGACTCAGCCAAAGACCTCCAGCGATTAAAATGTTGGCGTCAGGGTCTCACAACTTGGGCTATTATTTGAATGACTATATGAATATGTTTCTTCTTTTGAAAATATAGAATTAAATTTTGGCTCTAATCTTGAATTTAGAAAATTTTGTGTAGCACAAGGCACCCGAGCTCGATCCGCTGACTCAGCGCGATGAAGTGATGAGCCAGTTAGGTTGAGGGTAGAGAGAGACAGGAGGGAGGAACAGAAACACACACACACACACACAGGGAGGGAGGGAGGGAGAGACCAGGAGGGAGGGAGAGACCAGGAGGGAGGGAGGGAGGGAGGGAGAGAGAGACCAGGAGGGAGGGAGGTGCTTCATACAATGGTGTTGGAAGAACAGGGCAGCAAGAAAAGAGTGAAAAGGATGATTTTAAACGAGAAGGAAACGTTGCGAGGAGGTAGCTATCGAGGGAAGCTCTTCTGATGGAAATCAAATAAATGGCAAGAAGGATGCTACATGATTAGACAAAAGTTGGCTTGTATCAGTCCGTGGTCGTTGTATTAAGATTAGTGATAAAAGCAGGGAACTAGTAAAATGCAGGCTAGAGGAATTGAATGGATGTCAGTTCATCTGAGCTACTTGCAAAGTCTGCAGGAACAAGATGGAGGACTTCGCTATGCTCGTGCACAAACTAACAGAACCTGCGAAGCAAGGCGATTCAGCGACGGTCCGTGTGCAGGGGGACTGAATGTCAAGCTGACCTGAATATTCAGGTTCGAGAAGTTTTGCGCGATTCAAAGCGATTGCATTTTCTATGGCAACCGACGACGGTACAGCAAGAAGCCATCGACAAGTAAGAAACCAAGCAACATTGCTGGTATCATGACTCTTCTTGAAGGTGCATCGACACTTGTCTACCTTCGGGGGGTGGGGAGCAGCATCTCAAGGGCTGGGTTGTCACCTCAGTCAATGAGTGGGGAGGAGATCAAGAGCGGATATTCCTTCTCACCGACAAGCGATGTTACCGTATAAAGTTTGACTTCGACTCGAAACAAGTAACTGCTTCCAAAGCCATCGAATTGGTGAGACACGACTACAACTTTCGAGGCCTCTGAGACGGATTTGATGTCAGAGTGAAGTCATACGGGTGGAGTATGGATCCTTCAAAGCAGCAAAAGCGTCCCTCACGACTTGGGTAACCTATTCGTGTTCCTTCATCCTCACTATATTCTTGTTCCTCCCGACCCTCCCTAATGATATCTGCCCCATGCATTACACTTCCCTTCCTCTCTTGTAAGACATGTTCAATTGCGATGGACAGGTGTGGAAGAAGGAGATAGAGCAGCAGCAGGTGAGCTGCCTTCTCCTGCTCTTGTCAAGCTCACGACCCTCCTTCAGGGATTTCGCATCTTCACGCGAGAGTTGGATGGCAACAAGAGCATCAACGCGATCGCTCGCGAGCAGCTGCCGGCACTGCTGGGCACTGAGCCAACGCCACAGGTGGAGATTGTCAGGGATCGTAATCAAGCAGGTTAAGGCTTGAGCAGGAGGAATTCTACCGCGAGTATAGAGCTTTCGGTGCAGAGGAGGAGCCGTGGAGGGAGGAAGTGTTCGCACAGGTGAGCATGGCTGTCCATTCGCCAAGGTGACTGGCGCACAGGAACTCGCTGCTGCCTTCATGGCCGCGTCGATTCTCAGCGGGGCAAACTTTGACGTCCGTCCAGCTGAGATGGACAAGGAAGTACCGGGTGGAGTTTTTTCAATGTGATGAGTCTCAGCTCGGGGGCTGTGCTGATAAGACGTTGGGCAGGTTCTATAACAGTTTGAGTCTTGGCAAATACTCCAAGACAGCTTGAGGCGTGTGAGAAACCAACGAACTATTGAAATGATGAAAACGAGCGAGAGGGCAAGCGGGGCGGGTTGTCAGCGATACCTGCGAAACGGGGCCTGAGGACATAAATACCGTGAAATGTTTGTGAATATGAGTCAACTTTTGTTCGTTACGAAATATTCTTCTAAGCTTGAAACAATGATGGGAGGCTGAGCCTTCTTGGGCTGATTGTGAACAAACAAGTTAATCTATCATCGCACCAACACACATTAAACTCACCGTCGCGAAATTTCCTTGATTCTCTGACGTGGAGATGGCAATCGTGGTTGTGTTTCGACAAACGTTTTGAAACCAGCCGACACTCTCGGGGTTGTCGTCAACCATCAACGCCAGCTTATTTTCGGCCGAATATTCTCCAAGCACTCGCCCAAGGTATCCTCGTCCTTCTACTGTCTCGCAGAACAGGATGTGGGTGGAGTTGAGACCAGCATCACAGATTCCTGCTTCCCTCAGGGCCTCCACTACCACGCCCTCGCACTCGTCGTCCTTCCAAGACCCATGCGGGTACGTCTCGTTCACCACCGTGTGGTTCTCCATGTAGCGGGTCAAGGTGTCATGCCCCGAGTGAGGGAATTGAGTGACAAGAAACAGGTCGGTAGAAGCAGCGAGATGCATCAGGACGGGTCCCACGCCTTCAATCATCTGCAGGTGGGTCTCGCCTTGAAAGAAAACTTTCTGAATGTCAGATTCTTTGAAGACCGCATTGTTAGTCACGACCAGCACTCGTCGCCCTTTCAGCTCCTTCAGCTTCCTCGAGTCCATGCTCACTGAGTTCATCATGTCATGTACGTGCTGCGGTAACCCCTTTTGTGGCGCTGCGGAAGCCGAGTGGGTGCCCTTGCCGGCGAAGCCCAACGAGCGGAAGAGCTGGACAGACAACAACTTGATCATCGCAAAGATCCAGGAGGAGATGGAAGGGTAAGACCATGGCAAGTACGCCTGCAGATCGCTTGTCTCTTCACCTCCACCGCGCAGGCGCATTGATGAAGGTCTTTCTGCTGCTCGCGGCCTCACGCCCTGGACTGCTTCTGTGCCAGAACGAGCCTTCGGCTTGTTCTTCTGAGATTTCTTCTCTTCTTCTGCCTTGATAAATTCCTTGAGCTGCTCTCGCTCAACCTGTCGAGCGTATCGATTGGTCACACGTCGGATGACAAGGAAAGGGTTGTTGGGATCTTTCTTCTGCTTGGTTAACGCCTGCACCTTGGCTTTGTCACGGAGGAATTCGCCCAGCAACTTGATCATTTCATCTTCAGGCTTTCTTTTCTTGGTCTTCTTTGGCTTGCCCCCGGCGTCCGTCTGGACCGGCTTGAATCGCTCGTTTCCCTTGAAACCCAGCGACTTGCTGCCGTCTGTTATCATGGGCTTGGGGGCGCTTGCCTCGAGAAGCTGCTTCTTCTCTTCCTCGTACTTCTTGGCTGCAATCAAGTTCAACACATTCACCACAGTCTTGCGGACAATGCGCTCCTTCGCCTTCTCTGCTTGCACGTCCGGATAAGCTTCGGAGACATTGCGCATGCGGTTCACTTCCGACCAGAACTTTTTGTGTAAGCGAGAGATGTCACTTCTCTTCTCGGTCGGGGCCTCGAGGTCACTACCACGAGTGATAGAGATGAGGCCGGGTATCTTAGCTGACTTCCTTCGTTTGACCTCACCGCTCATAATCAATGCTGCGTCTTTGAGCATCTTATGCATGTTACTTGTCCACGAGTCCTCCTCTTCCTCCGGGGCTAGAGAGTTGTTGAGACTCTCCCGAACCTCCTTCGAGAAACGTTCTGTGCCTGATGCATCCGACCTATGCAAGGCTTGATTGTCCTTGCCCCTCGATATCCTAGCAGACCCCGAAGACGACAGAGGAGTCGATGATGGCATCTCACAACTCTTAGCGAAGGCCCTAGAGTCAACAAAGAGGAGGAGCAGCATGAGCAGAGCTCTAGCCCTAGTCGGCATCATCTTCCAGCCCCTTCTCCTTGACTTCATTGCTCTCCTTCCCATCCCATTTCCATCCCCTCACGATCTCTACTACTCACCCCCACCCACCCACACAAGGCAAGTTGAGATATCGTACCCCCTTGTCTCCCATTTTCATCCGTCGACATCAGGACCCCTACCTCACACTTTATACCACCACCCCCTCCTTTAGATGCGGCCTCTGCGGCGGCCGAGGTCAATTGGATTACGTATTCTAATTTCAATTAGAGCACGTCTGGTCTGCGTAACCACTGTAATCGGCCGTAACGGTTACACAGCGCGGGAGAACGAAAATGAAAGAAAGCGATTCGGATGCACAAGGACGATCTCGATGAGGCCATGCTCTCCTTATACTAAGTTCCTTCCTCCTATGCCTTCCTCCTATGCCTTCCTCCTATGCCTTCCTCCTATGCCTTCCTCCTATGCCTTCCTCCCATGCCTTCCTCCCATGCCTTCCTCCTATGCCTTCCTCCTATGCCTTCCTCCTATGCCTTCCTCCTATGCCTTCCTCCTATGCCTTCCTCCTATGCCTTCCTCCCATGCCTTCCTCCTATGCCTTCCTCCTATGCCTTCCTCCTATGCCTTCCTCCCATGCCTTCCTCCCATGCCTTCCTCCTATGCCTTCCTCCTATGCCTTCCTCCTATGCCTTCCTCCTATGCTCCGCCCTCTCATGCTCCGCTCTTCTGTGATTCTCCTGTCCATGCTCGTCTCTCCTACGCTTCTTCCTGTCAAACTCCTTCCTCTATTTGTCTTTCCTTAGGTAACCCTTATTTCAATGCTCTTCCCTCCTTTGCTCATTCCTCTCCCTTATGCTCCGCCTAGCCATTCCTCACGTAATCCTCCGTCAAGTTTTCTTGTTCCTGTGCATCCCTTCAACCTTCACTGATACTCTCATCATCCTTCTTCCTGTGATCTTTCTTATGCACTTCATATTGCACGTTGCTATGAAATCTACTCTCCCTGTCTCAAATCCTCTTGTCCTCATGTGCTCTCTTCGTCCTCCTTCTCACCTTCTTGTATCTGGCTTTCTCACTGCATGAACACGTTACTCTGGGCTTTTCTTCGGTCTTTCTTCCAGCTTCACTCATTGTCGAGGAGCAACACAAGGAGGAGAAGAGGCCTTTGCTTTTCTCTGATGAATTTTCTTTCGCTGGCTCTCAAATTGACGGTCTGTTGCTGCTTGTAGGACTACATGATCGAATATCTTGAGGACGCTTCCGTCGACGTCTCTCCGACCTATCACTGCTTCCACCATTTTGGTTGAGTCCAAATTACGCTCAAGGACGTTTGTGTCCTGCCAGACAGTGCGGTCGAATACCTAGCAATGTCAGCTAAGAGGAGTCATAGCGAGGTAGAGGAGCTTTCTTCCAAGAGAAGCAAAAAGGGCACGGAAAAAGATCAAAGTGGTCTTGAGATCGCAGCCTATTCCTTCTGACGCAAGTACAGAGCGACTGTCTCCAACTCCGAGCAATGACAAGTCGAGCAAGAGTGATCTTGGAGATTGCAACGGTGAGATAAGATGAGTACCCGCAACGAAAACGTGAAATGATAGGCTGCTGTTAGGAACAGACGCCAACCGAGAGCTGCAGCCCATGAGTAGGTGAGTTGCTTCCCTCGTTCACTGACACGAGCCGTGACAACCTCCACCGTAGAATGCGGGAGGAGCAGGACTTGAATGCCATCGTGTTGAAGTCTCAGAGCATCTTTGCTGACCCGTAAGCTTCCATCGATTCAAAGGAGGAAGCGACGACCTAACTGTAAATCACAGCATGTTTCGAGAAATGTGGCTGAAACGAGAATTCTGTGACTTGTTCTTTCGTGTCGAGCCCAACAAGGTGTTGTGCGCTCATCGAGTTGTAAGTTGTGATCGTGACTTTGAGGGTGAGTGAATCTCTGTTGAGGTGCTCGCTGCACATAGCTCGCATCTTCAAAGCAGGTTGTACAGGCAAGAAGAGAAAGACAAATCAAGAACCGGCAGCACCACAGCTGTCGGTGGATTTGATGATGATAGCACTTTGGGGCCAATCATCGAGTTGCAAGACAGCCAGGCATGTAGCAAGGGACTTGTCGGAGAGACGGCTGACTTCAAATCTCTTGTATAGTATGAAGCCGTTCTTGCCCTACTCGACTACGTCTATAGCGGTTCTTGTTGCATCGAACGATCAGTCGGACGAGACCTGATGGATCTTGCGTGTCGCTGGGGACTTGACGTGATGCGATTTAAAGCTTCTGACGCGAATCTGAAGTCTATACAGGGAATACGTCAAGCGTTAGAGACGCAGGGGATGCTTTCTCTCACAGTTACAACCTGTGCAGAGTTCCTGAAGAAGTAGAGGGTGTGGGATGGTGGAGGGTCTTATGACGGCTTTCCTAAGGTGTTTTTTGGATTATGTAGCTGCTTCCGATGGGGCCGGGGGGATGGAGCAGCACGGACTGTCAGCTGATGGAGAGGTGAACGAAGACTGGATCGACTCGGTCGATGCTCGTAGGGGAATGGAGTTGGCGCTTGCTCGGTTCGAAGAAGTTGCCGAGACTCCTCAGTTCCTCGACCTTCCTGAGCCAATTGTTGCTGCTTTGATCGCGAATGATCGATTGGCCGTCACTTCGGAGAAGGTCTAGACCATCTGGTCGCCCGAGAGCTTGTGATGAGTGGGCAGGTTGTCCTCAATGTCATCTACGAGTGGATGACAAAGAACGCTGCTGAGTATGGGCCGGAAGTGCTTGTCAAGGACGGAGGAAAGAAAGTCAGGGGTGAAGATCTGCTCCGACTGGTGCGATGGACCCAGTTACAGGTGATCTTGTGCCTCTCCTTCCTGACCCTCAGCTGGGTGCTACAGACTGACTTCCTCGCGTCCTTCGGCTACTGGAACAAACCAAGTCATCTGAAGTTCGTGGTCGCGCTTCCTCGTGGGGTGAACTCAAACCTGCGACAGGGACTGCCGGCTGATGGAAATGCACGTGTTTGAGGCGATGGCTTACGGGCATCTTCCTCCCGACATGAAGGTGAAGGGAGAGGACTGCGAGCTAGTCTCATGCGGTCTCACAGAACGTGTTCGAGCCGAGAATTCTCAATCCTCGATCTCTGCGAGCCAGAAAGGTTTGTGATGATTCCCATGTCCTCTGTCTCAAGCTTCACAGGCGGCTGTCTTGTTTCGTCCGTTGGAGAGGTCGAGGAAATCGCTCATCCTGAAGGCCAGTGGGAGGAAGGTGGCGGTCTCTGCGCAGAGCAGGACGTCTGAAGTTCGTCATGGCGCAATGGAGAGCGTTGGGATGAACGGAAGTGACGGCATCGATGCTGCTGCTGCTCCGGCTGTCTGCACGGCTGTCTTTGGACACTCCACGCAGTCAGCCACACACTCCTACGTTCTTGAATGGCATGCGGGCACAGAGTCGTCTGGTGATCTGCTGCTCTTCGCTTTTTGTCCGCTCACCTGAGGTAGGCGAGGCCGACGGCTACATTGGAGTGATGAACGCAACAACTCTGGAGGAGAACGACAGGTCAGCAGCTCCTCCTCGTCCCCCCTCCTCATCGTGTCATGTAGCGCTTGCTTCGTGCTCAGACTACGAGGAAAGTTGGGTGAGGGTCAGATCGGTCTGGCACATGTAAGAGGGAGGAAGGAGACTGAGGGGAGCAAGTGACCTGCTGCCTGCAGATCTCAGAGTCAGGGACAGATGCGCTCTTATCAGGCTGTAAGATCCAGGCAAGCTCTGCTCTTGGAGTTCTCCGCTCACCCGTTGGCAGCTCACCGTCAATGTGCTCGAGCGACGACTAGCGCTCTTTCGTGTGGACGAGAGCGGTGAGAGGAGAGGGAGGCAGGAAGGCCGTGATGGTTTGATCAAGGAAACTGCATATTGCTTCAAAGCAAGGACGCCAACAACGTTGCGGTGCTCCAAAGCTCTTTGACCGCATCAGCTGAGCCTACGGCAGGTGCCATGGATTCCTTGCGTGGGCTTGTGCTTTCCGGGCAGCAGGTGCGTGTGAGGTATGAGTTGCTCACCCTTGACGTGCCGCAGCTTCACATGGACGCACACCGAAGAGCTTCCCTAGCGTCACTTCTCTCCTCCCACCAGGTCTGCATGGAACCGTCCGACTCGCTTGTAGTTGTCGTTGCCGCTATCTTTCAGTATCTCTCCCTCCATGAACGCGTTCGGAATTCCCTTCCCTTGCTGTTAGTCTCCCAACACCACCCGCATATGCCTTGCCTTGAGCGTCTCCTCCTCCCGGGCCGTGACGTCGCCGCGGAAGATGAAGGAGCCCTCGGCAGCTCTCAGCTTCCATCGCGCATTGAACTGGATCAGCCCTCCTTCAAACCTGCTCCTCGTCAGCTTCTACCCTGCCCCCTCATGCTCACCTGCTTGGTTTCATCCGCCATGGCCCTCGCACCGGCTTGTCAGGTCGGGTGCTCGAGTAGCAGTCGGAGGAAGTCAAAGTGACCTCTCCTCGGTTCGGCTGGTCGTACTGCCCTGTAAACTCCAAGTTTCCCCGGCATCCTCGTCCTCCCACGTCCTGCTGGAAGCGCCACACGCCCCGCATGGTCTTGAGCGGCATCGCCTGCTCGATCTGCTCCTGTCAGCGAGACCCCCAGCAGCATGCGCGTACCTGCTCCGCGTAGAATTGCGGCTCTAACGCCAATGCGGCATCGACATGGCTGTAGCAGAGAAGGAGGAGGGAGCAGAACACTGCCTTCCATGCACCCTGGGAGGGCCTGTGGCGACTAGCCTGGGAATCGAAGGAGGAGGAAGCGCAGGGGGAAGAGCATGAGAAAGGGGAGGAAGCGAAGGAAGCGACGCCTGATCTAGATGTTGAGGTCGATGAGAGGAGAGAAGGTGGTTGATGCGGAAGAGGAGAAGTCGAGAAGGAGAAGGAGAAGCAGGCGTGCGGTAGCAGCACCAGGAGCGTCACATAGCCCAGGAGGGACATTTATAAAAGTCCCTGATTTGAGTTTGATCGGGCGTGGGGACGGGGAAGGGGAGGGGGACGGGAGTGAGTGCGAAACGGAATGCGGGGAGCGGCCGTGATGGTCATGGTGTTGACAGTCGGCGTGGGATGGGCACTGGAAGAGGGAGGGATGAGAGAGGGAGAGGAGACAAGGAGAGGGGAAGAGGAGGCACGAGGAAATCAAGGAGGAGTGTCCATGATGTTTCCGGTCTCTTGGATGGTAGGAGGAGGTGGACAGGAGCTGCGAGTGCTGGCGGACAGCGAGCCTCCTCTCTTGTTTGAAGTTCGCTGTGGGAAGAGGAGGGAAAACTGTTGCTTGGGCCATGACGGAAGACGATGGGAGATCTGGGTTGACGGCGGGCTGGCGGGTCAGGGTCAGGGTCGTCAGGTATTGGAGGTGAGCGCGGCTGAGGAGAGGCTGACCGCATGCTAGAGGAACAAGCTGAACGTGAGCGTGACGAGCATGGGAAAGCACGCCATCGAGTGTCTGCTGCTGGAGGAGGAGAAGCTGCTGCACACATCCTCTACTGCTGTCTCCTTCGCCCCTGCAGGAGCCACGCCTCGTCTTGCCCTTCCCTCCGCCTTGGGCGACTTGCTCAGGTGGGGATCGGAAGACTTGTGGGCGGAGGAGGAGGCGCTGGAGAGGGTCCGAGCTCAATTCTTCGCCCTGTGGGACGCAGCATCACGTGAAGTCTGTCCGGATGTTGCCAACCGAAGCACATGCAGGGAGCATTCATGCTCGGGGCACGGGAGGTGTAGCGATGCTGGTGTCTGTCTCTGTGTTGGGGATTGGTTTGGAGATATTTGCGACCATCATCCCTTCCTCAACAGCTCCTACCTCCCCCGCGAGCTTCACCTCTCCTCCCCTTCCACTTGTCCCGCCGTCGTCAAGTGGAGCATCGGGAGCTCCGGGCTAGTCGAACTTCTCGACCAGCTGCAGGCAAGACGGTGTGAGGAGAAGCATCCGCTCCTCCTCGACACTCTCGGCCTGGCTCTTGGCGGCCAGATCAACTTGGCGTCACTTGCCCTCGCGCACGCGCTCAATCAGAATCGCTCTTTCTTGTTGCACGGGAGGTGGCGATATGGCAGCCATGCCGGCTGCCTGCGACAGGGGAGAGCATGCTACTTTCAAGCGAAGCTTGCATGCGAGGAGGAGAGGCTGCGGAGCAACGGAGTTCGCGTGTGGCCCTTCAAGGATGGAGGAGCGGTGCTTGAGCACTTCAACACACGTGAAGTGAGGGGGGGGGTGGTGGCGGCGGGGAGGTTGAGGGTGCAGGGACTCTTCTGGTGGACGAGCCACCTCCTCGCCTACGTCACGAGACCTTCGAGCGACCTGGAGGCGAAACTGCGAGCACTGAGACTTCAGCTCAACTTCGCTCCTCCTCTCATGGGTCTTCACGTTCGCCATGGCGACGCCTGCGTGCACGCTGCGCAGTCGAACACGCGGCCGCTCTGCCGCCCTCTTGCTGACTACATCCCAGCAGTACTGAAGCTCCGTCGCACGTATGGTCTGGAGGCAGTGTTTCTATCCACGGACGACGAGGAGGTGGTGGAGGACGCGACTAGGTGGTTGGGGCGTCACGGCATGCGGGTGTTGCACCAGCCCCTTGACCGCAGCGTCTTCGAATCCTCGTGGTTTATCGAGCACCGGATGGAGGCAGGTGCTCTCGACGCAGGCGTCATCACAGACAGCATGCTTCTCGACCTTCTCCTCCTCCGCGAGTGCGATGCCTTCGTGGGGACCCTCTCCTCGCAAATGTCTCGGCTCGCGCTCTCCCTCATGGCCCATCGCATCGGTGTCATCCCTCCCTTCGTTTCGGTCGAGGACATGCCATGGGGCTGCTGCTCGTGGGCTGGCGAGAGCCTCGAGCAGAAGGACGGCGAGGCAATGAGACGAGTGAGTTTCGGGTACAAGGAGCAACTGTAATCTCACGACGACCTCAAGCTGCCGAGGCCTTGAAGGTGGGGGCGATCTTGTCAAACATGGCGTCTGCTTCTGCTCGTCGCTTGAGGAGCGCACATCCAGGAGCAGCCTTGGAGAGCGTGTTGATATACCTTGAGACGACCTCCGGGGCCTTGCGAGTATGCTGGGAGCACACGACGAGGTTCTGAGGGAAGGGAAGAAAACGACGAGAGAGATCAATCGTCAGAGATGGGAGGAAGGACGTGAGCGAGACCTGAAGCGTTTGCACGTCGGTGGCACTCTTGGAGAGAGCCTTAAGGAGGTATTTATCCGCGTCCTCAAACTTGCCCAGATGCATCTGAGTGACGGCCATGCCGTTGAGGAGCAGAGGAGTCTCGTTGTACTTGTCGGCAAGCTCCTGTAGGAGGAGGATGAGGGGAAGAAAGAAACCTAGATCTCCTGCTGCTGACTCGCCTGAAAGATGTAGAAAGCCTCTTGTACCTTCTCTCCTCCAAGCGCAGTGTAAACCCATGCCTGTTTCCCTCACCGTCAAGGAGCGACACTAGAAGGGTTTTCTGGCGTGATCACCGTTGTGAGCTGAGTCAGAGTCGCGTCGTCCTCCATGCGCGACATGAGACTGTCACATGTGAGAAGAGAGCGACCGCAGCCTCATGTACCTGAGCGACTTCTCTGCGATATCCACACGAGACATGCGCAGGTACACCTGCCCATGCAGAATGAAATTACATGGATGTTAAGCAGTGCGCGATAAGGGTTGGTCTCACTTGAACTTGCATCGAGACAATCTCAAGCGTGGTTGCCGAGTGCAAGACCTGCATCATCATTGATTTCCCTTCCGGCAAGGAAAGCAAGGCACCTTGGCTGCTTGTTCCAGCTCCCCAAGATCGAGGTATATTATGCCAGCAACCAACTGAGGGGAGCGAGGGAGGACGATGCCGTCACTCGGTCACTGCTGCAGTGGTTTCAAGTATCGTTACCTGAAGTGTCGGGTTGTTGAGAGTCTGCGAGTCCGACAGCCACTCCAGCAGAGTCATCAGCACGATGTCCTTCGCGTCCTGAAGTCACGAGCCTTCAGCGCATGGCCCTCGCAGTCGTGTGCTCACACCGGCTTCGAGAGGTACGTCGACAACAGCTTCACTGCTTGCAGAGCTGTAGGAGCATCGTCCCCGATTTCCGACTCAACAACCTCATGCTGACCCAACGCGATGTATGACCTGTAAACCTGAAGATCCGCGTCAGCAGCTGCATCGTCCGAAGCCGGTCTACTCACGATGATATCTCTTTCTCGCTCATCAGCTGGCGAAGAAAGAACAAGATCGGGTGATTGAGCTTCGTTGATCGCGCCTTGATAATTTCCGAGGTAAAACTCGTTTTTGATGGAGAAAAGGTCGTCAGACATCTGCTTGCAAGTTCGGGCAACCGTCAGCCATCGATTTTAGCAAGCTTCTTCAATAATCATCCTTTTTCTCGACTTTGTGTCACTCTTCTGCTTCCTTCCTCCATCTATAGCTTATCAGGAGAAGAAGACCGACGTTCTATTGCTTATTCCTCTTACCCAACTCCTATCTCCTCTCTACTATCCCTACCGGTCGCCACTCTACTCTCGCTCCTATCCCGCTCCCCTCTTCACCTCCCCTCCCCTCCCCTCCTTATCTGTCTCACTCTCTCCCCTCGTTCCTGGCTCCTCTCTCTCTCTCCTCCTTCGCATCTCCTGCCTCCCTCTCCTCCCTTCCCCTCCTCTGCTCCCTCGCGCTAGCTCGAGCCAGCTCATGAGCTGGCTGAACCGCGAATGCAATGAGCGGGGATGAGGGCTCTAGTTGTTTAGAATACCCCGCCTGAGGCGGACTCATCCGACACGCAAGAATCTCAGTGACTACTAGGCTATGCGGCAACGAAGGAAGGCACGGGCAGTAATGAAACGTTTCAAGTGAAGTTCACTGATTCACTTCCCTCTCTGGGTTATTAGAGCTCAATTGAAGTTACACACAAATTTGGTCGCCAGGAAGTTCAGACCTGATGGAAAACCACCCAGTCACTCAAAGCAAAACACTGATCTTGACTGCATTCAAAAGAACAGAGCAATCCTCAGAAATCTCATGTAGAACGCGCAGCAACAGAAGCATTTGCTCCTCTATGGTCAAGAAATATATGTTTCATCATCGGATTTCTCGGTTCAGAGACAAGGACAACAAGCACTGAGACCAAGAGAAGACGTGCATACCTCTCAGCCATCAACCAAGCTTGTCTGACCTTCCATGCCTTATCGTAGGTCTCGTTCTCTCTCGGGTCTCGTGAGTCTCGGGTTCCTTTGGCCAATGCAAGTGCATATGTCTTGAGAACAGCATTATCTACATATGAATAATCGGCCATCATGGTTGATAGAATTGATGTCCTTGATTCAGGAGGGAAGTTGAAGTTTCGTGACTGAAGAATAAGATGAAAACGATCAAATCAGATGTTTTCTTCCCCTTCCTCCTCCTCTGCCTCGTCGCTCTCACTTTCCTCGAACGAGTCGTCATGAAGACGGTTCTGGTTCACAAACAAGTCAGGGTCACTCCCTGACCCATCAGAGTCCTCGCCATCTTCTTCATCGTCACCCCTCACTGCTTGTGACGGCCTGCTCGATGCCGCAGACCCTTCTTGTCTGGACTCAGTGCTATCAAATCCAGCTGGCCAACAGCTCAACTTTCTGAGGTGCTGAACTTGTTCAGGAAATAGGATATGAGAGATCGTCGCTGCTACTTTGCTCGATTCCTCCTTTGCGTTTGGGGCAACGATAAGAAAATCTCCCCTTTGAGCCCACACCACCTTGCTGAACTTTGCAGGAAGCCAACATAGTATGGTCTGCCCATCCTCACATTCGCACTCCATGGTATTTCCGCCTCGAGAACGAACCAGACGCACGATGAACTCGTTGTCCTTCGGTTCAGGAAAGCCATGCTCGGCTGTCAAACTTCACAACCATAAGTCAGGCGTTCAAACGAGGAGTAAGGTTCGGGTCATTACCGGACATGCTTCGATACGAATTGACTTCTCTTTCCCATTGGAGTGCTTTAGTTCTGTAATTTTTCATGGTCAAGACTCAATTAAGAACTGTTGGCCATGCCGATCATGAATCGAGCAACCTAAGTCTCTACCCTCAACAAATAGTACTTCACTACAAGGAGCATCAGTATCGGAGATGCATCCAGTCAGATGTCTGTGCCCCATCCCCTCTCTCCTACCCTCCCTCGTCTTCTCCCTCTCCCTATCTCCCTCTCCCTCTCTGCCTCCCCCTCCCCCTCCCTCTGCCTCTCCCTGTCCCTGTCCCTGTCCCTCTGCCTCTGCCTCTCTGCCTCTCCCTCCTCTGCCTCTGCCTCCTCTGCCTCTGCCTCTCCCTGTCCCTCTGCCTCTGCCTATGCCTCTGCCTCTCCCTGTCCCTCTGCCTCTGCCTCTGCCTCTGCCTCCTCTGCCTCTCTGCCTCTGCCTCTGCCTCTGCCTCTGCCTCTGCCTCTCTGCCTCTGCCTCTGCCTCTGCCTCTCCCTCTCCCTCTCCCTCTCCCTCTCCCTCTCCCTCTCCCTCTCCCTCTCCCTCTCCCTCTTCCTCCTCTCCGAGAAATGTTGGGCTGCATGGCCGCACGTGCCTGATTGACCCTCATACCCACTATGATCCCTCATTTCCGTTACACATACGGTACATCCAATCATGGCAAGGCTGCGACAACTGAACGACTGCGTAAAACTGCGATGCAGTCCTGCCTCCCGGCCATCTCATCGACCGCGACTGCAGCTGCCAGACGGCCGCCCATCCCCCGCTGCCGGACCTCCATCCGCTCCAGCGCCGCCCGATGGCGCGGCGCCGCCGGGCCCGACTCGCCGAGTCAGACCGTCGACAACAGCAGCGATCGGACCTCGTCAGCTTGACCTGCGGGAACGAGTATCACGCGGATTGCTTGAAGCGCCTGCTCGAGTCTGCCGTCAATGACCACGAGCAGCAGCGAAGCGTCGGTGAAGTGCGACGGCTGCTTGTGCTCCTTTCAAGTTGCGAGCCTGGGGCGGGGAGGCTGGTACCTACCTTCCCATGGTATCGTCAAGTGCGAGTCACGGGTCGACTGAGTACCTCCTGCGCAGGCTCAGGCCCGCACTGCCACTAGCATGCTTTTAAGAAGTGGATGGTGAAGCAGTTGAACCTGAACCTTTCACCCCTGGACAATATGATCGCACGATTTTCGTTTTTGGTGAGTTGGACTTGTTTTGCGTTCTCCTTAATCATCTGACCTTGCGCTTCTTTGATCGCTTCTGTTCTACACCTGTACACTCACATGCTCTATACGCTCAGGAATGTCTTCCATTCTCTCCCTTGGACCTTGGAAATGCTTGTCCATGTCATCAAGGGGCTTCTGGCCTGACTTCTTCGCCATAAGTTCAAAGCTTTCTCATTCTTCCACCTCCACTTAGTGAACTCTGTGAGCAACAGCTTGAAATGTCTGAGAGTATGTTTGCCACTACTTACGTTCTGATACAGGATGAAGGTACTACAATGCCTTTTCGACTCCTACATCGCCAACGAGCTTAGACAACAAGAAGTCCCTACAGGAGATCGCGGACGAGATTCTCAAACAGGTCGATCTCAAGACAATTGAGTCCATCAAGTCGAGTGAATCATGTAGTAACCCGCCCCCACATGCCTGCAGTTCTACCAACACATTAAATCTCATTCAAGGGGAGGGTTAATTCAAGGGGAGGGATAACGAGTGCGTGTTCAACAGAGATGTACTCGTTTCGCTGAACAAGATAGATGGCCATGATGTGTCTCAAGAACTTGTCGGCTCTTAAAAGACGTCCTAGTTGACCTCTCAGTAGTCTCCGTGCTCTAGTAGATGCCTCCGCCGACGTTCGAGAGCCACGAGTCGACAGAGCCTGTGTCTACAGGGGTGCTGATGGACTTGAAGGGAGAGGAGCGGTCATCGAGGTCGTTCCACGCGTTGTAGTACGGGTCTGAAACTCTGCAGCCAACGAAGGTGTTGGACATCTGACCTGCAGAGTGCAAAAATCTCGCATCTCCTTCTGGCTGTTCCATGTCCAGATGTTGTTTTTCCAATTGTAGATACCAGCCCCGCTGTTGTACCCAGCAGCATTGAAGGTAGCCTCACCAGGAGGCTGACCGCCTCCGATGAAGGAGCGGCATGGCGGAGCAGCGACTGTTCGTGGCGACCTGCCTTTCCCTTTAAAAACGTTCCTAGGACTCCCTACAAATATTTCCTAGAAGGCCTAAGACCCACTTTAGCTAAGGCCGAGGAAATACCGAAAAATCCCTAGGACCTCGGTAAAGGCTTCCTCTACCTGAGGTCCTAGCGGAGTGCCATACGGAAACCGAGTAAAAATACTCTTCTCGTCGCTGATATGGGGTGTGGGCCGTTACATATACGTTACATCCAGTCAACTGAGTTGTTTTGTCAACTGAAGGACTGACTGCCGCAATGCAGCAGTGGAAGAGCGGAAGGTGAGGGAGGGGGAGAAGAACTTGGGGGAGATGAGGAGCACATTAGGAGATAATGGGACAGTAGAAAGGGAGGAAACATTACCAGGCTACGCCTCGAATGGAATTACTAGAGTTGGTTTGAAACGCCTTCGGTGTCTGATGCAACTGTCAGGCTGCACATTGACTATGGAAGTTTGAGCGAACAATCGTCAAGCCCTGAAGCAAGCAGGGAAGCGTTTGAAAGACAGGTGTCGGTGATGCTTCCTCCTCGTCTGCAGCTCAAGTTCAAACCTCTTCCTCGCAAAGCACTGATCGAAGCCAACAATCTCTTGGTACCTGCCACTGTTCCTCCGCCTCTTTCTGACCGTGAGAAGCTCTCAAGAGATGGGATGCCGTTCGTATCTCGTCATAGGTGGTGCGAAGTCCGTAAGACGGGAGAGATTGCATCGCTAGAGGAGGAGGACTCTCTATCTCAGCCAGAAGTACGCGAGGCAGCTCGACCCTCCACTTCTCCTGATCGACGACGCGACGGCAGGGCTGCTCACCTTGCTTATCAGCGGCCTTTGAGACCAGCCACGGCGTTCATTGCTCGGCAACCCTCGGCGACGAGAGCGAGCAGACAGGACGTGGCTCGTTCGGCGGCCGACTCTCGGTCCTTGTTGTGCTTGCTTGTAGCTCAGCTCACAAGGTGGCAGAGAAAGGCGTTGCCATGCTCCAGCAGGACCTCCAGCAGCAAAGTGACTTGAAGTGACATGTTTGACTCGACTGACCCTCTCCTTCAGCTCGCGCCCGGCTCCTTTCGCGTCGTCAGGCCCTCAGCGTCGTAACGCTCGGGAGAAGTCAGAGGTTCGAGCTAAACGATATTGCGCAAGGTGATGGTAGGTGTGCGGCAGGTGCTGGGCGTCAGCGAGCAGATGAGGAGAGGCGAGGAAGGTGAGGGAACGACTTGACTTGCTTTCGCTTCCTCATCATGTCAACGGTAGGTCCTCAGACTCGTCGTCCGCCACTCGAGACTGTGGGACCAAAGATGTCGCAGGTGGCAATGAACTTATCGATGTTCGCGATGATGAACAAAAACTATTGTGATGCCGTCAACAATGTGGGGGGACGATGAGATTGCGATGTATGAAAGAAGAAATTGCGATGACGGGGAGGCGGACAATAGAGGAGAATGAATTTGACCTCGCTTTTCACCCAGCACGAGTCTCGTCCGATGCAAGGTGTGGAACAAGATGGAAGAGACTTCATTGCGGCATGGTATGATCGTCCCAGCATCAAGCATGCCTTTGAAGCCATTGGAAAGGTACCAACAGATCAAAATTTTGGAAGCAATAGGGTATAGCAGCACTAGTAAGGGCAGGCGGGCCTTGGAAGGAAGAAGTTGTAGTGACGAGAAGGAGTGCAATGGTATCAAGTGACGTTGACAATAGGCGGAGGAGATTCTTTCATGGATCAAGACCCTCCATCATCCTCGTCCTTCCTCCTCTCGCACCACAGCAAGTCGTAACCGAAGACGTTCTCCTCCCAGGTCAGTGAGTCGAACTTGGGGCTACGGTTCTGTTCCTGCCCCGCAACCGCTCCAGGTGATGATTGGGAGGGGAGGAGGGAGGAGCTTGTCGTGACGCACTTGCACAGCTGGGAAGCCAGGTCACTGGCCGCCTGCTCTATCGCTCGTCTGTGGTGACTCGTTTCCTTTGTCAAACATCCCCCCGTTAATCTTCCGCGTGCGGCAGCCACCGCCGGCAACCGCTCCTCCTCGTCTGAGGAATCCTCTGGCGCGAGGAACGAGACCCCGGGGGCGACGTGAGCATCCGACTGAGACTGATGCATCTGACGATCGTCCAGCAGCCTCGTTTAAGGAGGAGATTCCCGTCCATCGTCTGCCGTCTATCGACATCCCTGGAGGATGGGATGCTGCTGCTCCTCCTGCCTCGCCTGCTTGTCGTTTACCAGCGTCTGCCTCTCACGCTCCTCACCTAGGACGCAGACCCTCGGCCTCCACGGCATGGCAGGCAAAAGCCTCCGATCCCCCTGCAGCAGAAGACCTTCAGCCTTTACCTCCCTCACGCCTGTCTGCCTCGGCATTTCCATCAGCACAAGGTCGACCTGTCGCCCATCAGCGATCAGCTACTCAAGGTTTGACATCCCGCCCAGATCCCCGTCTTCCCTTCCCTTTCTGCTAGTCATCGAGCTACTCATCCTCTTTTTTCTCTTTCTCGCTCCTCCTCCATTTCGCTCTTCCTCCTCCTCGCTCCTCCTCCTCGCTCCTCGTTCCTCCTCCTCCTCCTCCTCCTCCTTCCTCCTCCTCCTTATTCTTCCTCTTCTTTTTTGCTGTCATGGTTACATGGCTCATGATTCTTGTATCGTATCACAGGACCTTGAGAAGTACGATTCCATGGCTGATCAGATCCTCGCCAAGTATGACACCTACTCGCAGTTTCCTTCTAGCTCCTCTCCCAAGGCATGCTACTCTCCTTCCGTCTCCTATGCCCCCGACCTTTCGTGCTCCTTTGTTTCCTATTCCCCCCTCCCTTCCTCTCCTTTTCGCACTTTCCTTCGCTTTCTCCACCTGAAATCAGGCAGGAACCCACAAGCTCACACGGCACTCAAGACTACGAGGAAGTCGTTGACGAAATACTTTGGGAGAGTGCTGACCAAAATGCGAAAGCAAGCGGGGGGGGGGGGAGGGAGGAGGAGCAGGAGGAGCAGGAGGAGGAGGACATGAGTCCGAATGGGACTTGCCTTCCATCAAGCGAACCGGGACCCGAGCCTGTCACTCACTGGTGGCAACAAAAAGAGCCAGAAGCTGTTTGCAGCCCGAGGGAGCAGGAGGAGCAGGAGGAGCAGGAGGAGGAGGAGGAGAGAGAGGAGGAGAAAGAAGAGGAGCCTGCATGCAGCAATGGTGAGGTGCTCGGGAGGATGGATATGAACGATGAAGAGGCAGAGCTGAGATTGGAGATAAATTGGGAAGAGAGTTCGAGAGATCACGAGGAGGTCTGGCGAGGATTGATGGAACAAGGGCTTTTGATGCTGTCTCGCCTCCCTCCCGACGTTCTGGATCGGCTGATCGTCGACATAAGCAAAGGGGATAGCGCAATAGCAAGATATATCCGGTCCACATGCAGATAAATGTGAGTTTGCAATGATGGTGATGACGATGTTGTAAATAGAAGGGTTGCTGAGGCCATCTTACAGCAACTAGTGTGTTTCTACTTCTCCAGTCATCGTTGCTTTATTTCTTGCTCATTCGCTTCACAAGCTCGTAGGCCGTGACAAACATGATGGACGACTGGACGCTCACGAGGGCTCGAGCTTCGACTCCCTTCAGCAGGCTTGTCAGTCCCTCCGTCCGCACCAGCTTGCGAAGGATGGAGAGGAAGTCGGAGCTGCGGTGCTGTCCCTCGCTAAGCTGCATCCTAGTCTTAACCACGTCGAACGGGTTTGTCAGGTAGACTGCAAGCACACCAGCCAGCCCCCCAGCTGTTGCCTCTTGCGCCATTCGCCAGCCCTTGCCCTGTGCTGGCATTCGCTGAGCCAGTTGCGACTTGAAGTGAATGTAGGCTGCCCACCATACCGAGTTGTAGGGAGCATGAACCAGCAGCGAGGCCCCGAAGCCCCTGTAGAAGCCTCTCCATCCTTCCTTTCTCCACGTCTCCTTCACCACGCGCATCAGCGGAGGGGTCGCGGAGTATGACCCATCCTTGCGCCGACTCATCATCTGCTTTTGCGCCAACACCTCAACAGGCACGGAGACGGTGTGGGAGACAAGAGCTGCCAAGGCTCCAGCGGCTGAGTTGCAGAGGAAGTCAAAGCCTGAGAGGACCAGCGAGTCTGTTTGCAGCCTCATCAGCTCATGCCTAGACACCTCCAACACCGTGTTGTCCAGCTGCATGGCTAAGATGCCAACACAACCGACGCCGAAGCCTTTGAAGAGCGAGCGAATGCCTTCATGCCGCGACATCTTCTTGAAGGCGTCGAACGTGCCGTCATAAACAAGGTCCGCGTTGAGGCGATGCGACGCTCTCACTGGCATCTTGAGGCTGCGCATAGAGTGCAAAGAGGCTGGGACGGCATGCGGAGCCGCTGGCTCCAACTGCATCTGCAACCTCGTCTTGACCACCCAGAAGGGATGGGTAGGAATGCGGATGAGGAGGAAAGCAGCATACCCGAACGAGTAGTACCTGACTTTATCAATGTCTTGCCACGAAACCTCGTCAGTTTGCATTGTGTGTTATGAGGATTGAGATGAGGTGTTGAGGAGATCAGCTGACGATGAGAGGCAGGTGAACACGTAGAAGTCTTCGAATCTTGAAGAAACGGATGCAGGCGCACAGGATCCCGATCATATCCTCCTCCTCCTCCTCCTCCTCCCTTCCTCCCTTCCTCTCTCCTCCCAAGCCTTTGCCACCGTCTGTCTCGTCTTTCTAGAAATTCTCCTTTGCCCCGGTACCCCTCTTACGTATGTTCCAAGCTTCGTGACAAGGGGGTAGGGTACATTGGTCCTTTCAAGTTTGCCGCACCCGGGGTGACGGCGGCGGCGGGCCCCGCGCGCGGCGGCCGGCCGGCGTAACGGCCCGGTGTCCGCGTGACCGCCGAGTCTACTACGTCTACTGAGAATCCCCAGTCACCCGTCACTCTCTTATTAGTATCATCCGAAAAAGAGGTGATAGTCACGTCGAGATGGCGAGAGGGATGACTATGTTCACTGACTTTTCGTCTCTCTTAAGTAGCTGTCCTAGGCAATATTGTTTCTTAGGAAATTAGATTACTTACTTTTCTTTATCTCTAACGTCGGTTTAGAATAAAGTACCGTTGGTTTGTGCATTGCGGTCGCGCGCTTGCTCTTTCAAGTTTGGTTTCTTGACGGGATCACTTCGTGTGTCGACACTAGGTTGAGAGATACTTGTAGGAAGTTTTCATAACATTTTGGTACGCGAAGGCCTGGTTTTCCTCTCGGAGTTGTTGTGTTGAAAGAAGTTGTTCAAGAAAACATGGATAGGACTCCGGACGAGCATTCAGTCGGGTAGTGTTGTCTCGGACTTTGTGAAGGAGACATTGAATGGGTCAGCAGAGCAGCGCTTTCCTACGGTGACAGTGATGTCGTCGCAGTCACATGCGTACGATCCGTTGGAAACTGTCATCCGTCCGGAGGGACGAAATTGGGTGTAGGCTCAAGTTTCAAGAGTAGTGGATCGTTCTACATGCTTGACTTGCCGCATGCGGACATGATCCTCTCATGGGAGTGGATGCGGGCGAACAAAATCGTGATCGATGCGGGTCATCCCAGAGTCTTTGCCAAATGGCGCAAGAAAATGGTCGAGCTGGGGAACGTCCGAGAGGAAACTCCCCTAGACGCGATACCCGGAAGCAGCCGACTGACCACTGTCAGTCAAGACGTCCGCCGCCGCCACAAAGCTGGCGGCCGCGGACGGAGAAAGGGCAGCCGCCGACAAGGAGCCGGCGCTGCCCGGGGGTCCGCCTGTGAGGGAGGCTGGGCACAGGAGCACGGTACCGCTCGAGGTGACGCATGTAGTCCTCTTCGCTAGCCTCCGAGTCAGCAGTAGCCGAGACCAACACCACCCGTGACGGCGGCGACGCCGCATCGATGCAGACGACGCATTGCTGGCTGCGATCTTATGATCAAATAGACTTGAGGAGAACATGATGACGGAGCCGCTAGTCGCTCCCCGTACACAACCCTGGGTCCTACAAGCGAATCGTCGGTGATGGCCCAGTAAGGGACTTTGCCGTAAGTCCAGACCAGCCACATGGTCACCCCGAACGCCCACACGTCGCTCTTCTCCGAGTACTGTCTTCTCTCGATGCTCTCCGGCACCATCAACCGCACGGGCCGAGCCGTTGCAAGGTGATCCTGCGGGTCGAGGCTGAACACAAGCACGTTCCTTGCTGCCAGGTCCCGATGCACAACCTCAAGCAGCGACAGCTGGTCCATCCCGTCACAGATCTGCCTCGCCACCTGCAGCTGCACCAGCGGACTCATCGTCTCCTCCTCCTCAGCAAAGTTGGACAAGATCACATCGAGAGAGCCCTTGGAAGCAAACTCAGTCAACAGGCAGTAGTCGCCGGAAGCTGCTGGAAGATCTTGACCTCCTGCTCGAACTCCTCTCTCCTTCCAGTGGGTCCGCTGCCTAGGATTCGCTGGATGGCAACCTCAGCGCTACTCCCCCGCGGCTGCAGCCACCGAGCCCTGTAGACGAGCTTGAAGGAGCCTGAGCCGATCTACTGCAGGTGCGTGAAGGACTTGAAGTCCAATGATGATATATGGCCAAGAAAAAAATCTTGCTGCTCTCTCTCTCTGGGCTGCTTCTCCTCCCTCGCTTTGCGCTCCTGGTCCTCCTGTTGCACGCATCCTTTCGTCGATCCAGTGTATGGTAGAGACATGTACGGGCCGGAGATTTCTCTGGTATCAGGCTGGTAAGGAGTGCTCCAGACGGCAGTTCCAGTAAGAATCTCATTCGCCGGGTAAGTGCCGTGGGCAGTTCCAGGAGTCGTGTAGGTGCCGTAGACAATTTCAGGAGTTTTGCCGTAGATAATTTCAGGAGTCGCGACATAGTTCACGTTGGCAGTTCCAGGAGTCGTGTAGGTCCCAGTCACATAAGCATTAGCTACAGTACTGACCCGTTTCTCGCAATGTTCGCATGCAAACTGCCAATAGCATCCGTCAGTTCAAACGTCAATAGCATCCGTCAGTTCAAACGTCAATAGCATCCGTCAGTTCAAACGTCAATAGCATCCGTCAGTTCAAACGTCAATAGCATCCGTCAGTTCAAACGTCAATAGCATCCGTCAGTTCAAACGTCAATAGCATCCGTCAGTTCAAACGTCAATAGCATCCGTCAGTTCAAACGTCAGGTTTATATGCATCACTCAAAACAATCATGCACCCTCTCATAGTTCATCCATCCTCGAGATTTGATGCACTGAGTCAACCAGTCAATACAAGCAAAACCATTACCCATGAACTGTTTGGAATTTGATTGACTTACATTCTGTGAGGTTTTCAATACAAGATTGAAGCCAGAACAATGTCAGATCAGGATGAAAGTATGTGACGATGTCAATTCTTACGCAGCACTATTAGATCCATTCGAGATGTTACCATTCGTTGAGCAAGACATACCAGAACAAGAAAGATCGAAGCCAGCATCCCTATGACTTGCCAGCCTCAGCACCCGCTGTCGCACTTGCCTCCCCAGCAGGTGACCGAGCAGCTGCAGGACCGAGCAGGCGAGCTGCCGGCCATGGCGACCTCAACGCGCGCTGTCGGCAGGCTGAGGGGACGCGAGGGGAAGAGAGGTTGGGGGAAGAGAGGGGTGGGTGGTTGTGGCTGGAGGTGAGCCGGGCCCGGGGGAGGGTGGGGGTCATGAGAGAGAGTAGGGGAGGAAGTTAACGAGACGAGAGGGGAAGGGAGGGGTGGGAACGGACAAGGAGGGTTGGGGTGGAGGAGGAATGGGGGAAAGGGGTCCTTCACCCGCCAGGCCCGGGCCCTTGTAGTGCAGCCGGGAGGACAACGTGACCCTCAATGAGAAAGAGGGTTGAACTCTCGACCCCACCCCACCACCCCCTCCCGCCCCTTCCTCCTCCACCCCTCCCTCCCCCTGAGCCTCTCTGGTAGGATTATAGTTGGACCGTGGGGGAGGGGTGGGAGGGAGGGATAAAGGAGGGGTCCTGACAGAGCTCGGTAGGATAAGCAGAGGAAGAGGAGAGGATCGAGGGGAGGGAAACAGAAGGGAAGGGAGAAGGAAGGGAGAGGTCAGGTGATGTGAGGGAGAGACAAGGAAAGAGAAGCGATAGATAGAGAAAAGGGAAGGGAAGGGAAGGAGAGGAAGGAGGAAGGGAGGGAGAAGGGAAAGAGAGGAGGAAAGGGAGGAGGAAGGTAGGGCAAGGCTTGCTTAATATGTCTTCTCGATGGACAAGAGAGACGGACACATGGACAAAGAGAGGGCAGAGGAGCAGGAGCAGGAGGAGCAGGAGCAGGAGGAGCAGGAGCAGGAGCAGGAGCAGGAGCAGGAGCAGGAGCAGGAGCAGGAGCAGGGGCATTTAATCCCTTTCTGGTAATTAAAAAGTCCTTCATGAGGGGTAGGGTGTATAACCTTACCTTCGCGTGGAGAGGAGAAGAGAGGACAGGACAGGACAGGACAGGGGGAGGGAGCTGGAGAAGGAGGAGGGAGCAGGATGAGAAAGACAAGGAGAGGAGACAAAAAAAACATGACAAGTTGACGGCAGTGGCAGCTGCTGCACACAACTACCGTGGAACCGGAGTTCCCACATGCTCCTGGTCGAGTGAGGATTCATGACAAGGGCTTGGATGTCTCCCGATCAGATGATCACGAAGATGCTCAAGATCGTCATCCTTCTGCTCCTCTGTCCTCCCTTGCAATCAAGGGTACAACAGGCAGTCGGAGGTAGCAGCAGCACGTTCTCCAGGATCTTTCAGCTCCGGAGTCGCATACATCCGTGTAGAGGAGGAAACGACTGGCAGTCTGATAACGAGGAGAGCAGCTCAGGTGGAGGAAACGACTGGCAGTCTGATAACGAGGAGAGCAGCTCAGGTGATGGTTCTCCCTTTTCTCTCCCTTCTTTCCCTCCCTGCTCCCCTCATCTTATCGCATCAGGGGCGATGAGCAACGATTTGGAGTGGAAAGTGACGCGGCTCATGGAGATGGGAGCATCGAGGTCAATGGCAAAGGTCGCTGCAGAGCACTCCATCATATCATATTGACTCTTCACTGCAGAGGGCTGTCGCTCAGGATCCGCAAGGAGATGTCGAGGATGCCGTGAGGTGCTTGGAGTTGGCAGTGGTCTCAAGTGAGCTACGGCAGCAGATGGATCATCAGCAATCTCGACCAAGGAAACCAGTCAGTGACAGAACAAGTCCCGTCTCATGCTGTTGGACGAGCCAATGATTTGTTTTCTGTCTGCAGCAATCTTGACGACGATGCCAAAGATACAGCCAAAATTGCTTTCCCTGCTGTTCGTAATCCCTGGAAAGAATCTCGGACTTCATCGGAGCTCCTCGGAAGCTGTGCGTATTTGTTTCTGCCCTTGTGACTGTTCATCCTCCCTCTCTTCCTTCGCATCTCCCTTTGGATTGCTCCTCTCTGCTGCTTCGATAGCTTTCCTTCCTCCTCCTTCCTCGATCTCCTCCTCCTCCTCCTCCTCCTCCTCCCTCCTCCTCCTTCCTGCTTCTCCTCCCTCCTCCTCCTCCCTCCTCCTCCTCCATCCTGCTCCTCCTCCTCCCCCCTCCTCTTCCTCCTCCCTCCTCTTCCTCCCTCCCCTTCCTCCTCCTCCTTCTTCCTCCTCCTCCTCCTCCTCCTCCTCCTCCTTCCTCCTTCCTCCTTCCTCCTTCCTCCTTCCTCCTTCCTCCTCCCTTCTACTCCTCTTTCCTAATCCTCCACCACCTCCTCGTGGCTCCATTCTCCATACTTTACTCCTTTACTTCTCTTCTTTCTTATTCAAACTCCATGCTAATGCAAGCAGCCGTTGCAGCTCCCGATTGCTTTCACCGTCAGCCAAGTCTCCGTCCGTTTGTCTTCTCCTTCCTGTCTTCATCTAAGTGCTTGCAGCAGGTGTGGATCCTACAGCCAGTCCCTTCACGTTCGGTTTGCATCGCAGAGTGGAAAGGAGGAGATCGTCGAACAGAGAGCCTCAGAAGCGGACGAGTACGCTCATTGCAAGAATGAACGCGACATGTGTTTTCACCAAGAGCATGAGAGATGTCAATGTGCACTGGGGATTTGAAGTAGACATAGACATATTGAGAAATGTCTGCCAGGTGAGATGGGATGATATGATATCGAAGATTTCAGATGAACAATTGCTTCTTCGCAAACTCTAGGGTTTTGCGATGTTCTGATTGGATTTCAACTCCTGTTTCGTGTTGTAAACTACTTCATCCTCTTTAGAACGATTGACATTCTTGCAGATTTGCGAAGCTTATCAACTTATAGGCTTCGTGGACGGACCAGTCGCCCGTTTTCTTTGCAAATTCATCCCATCGGTATCCTGGAGGAAGCGCTGTTGGGCGCGAGTGTACCTTCAAAAATTTCTTCAAGAAAACGAAAGTTTGCAAGGAGAGGATCCCAACGATGAGAAGGAGAGAAAGGAAGTGTGGCATTGCGACGTCAGACTATCAGGAGGCAGTAATGTTCGAGAGAGGGCGATCAAGGCCTTGAGACGGTCGGGACTACCTTTCACCATAGTGAATGCTACTCAAGAAATCTTTGACACCCCAATCGTGATCAATCGGACAGCTGGGACTGTACAAAACTCACAAGAATCGCTGGAGGGTATCATTGATGATTTGCAGAATATTACAAGCTCCTTCAATCTCTCGCTTGTCTGCATGGAAACATTGCGGACCCTCGGGCTACGAACCACTCTGTACGATTACCAGTTGCGAGGGATTAACTGGATGTTGAGTAGAGAATGTCAACAAGATGGGGATGGAGGAGAAGACGCAACCGTGAGCACTTGTACAAACGCATCACTGAACAAACAAGACTGCAAACTGATCGATAGCGATGGGAACAGGAACAACCTCCACAGCCAACTCAAACCTGACAACGTCAGCAATCGTTCTAGCACGGATGAATTCGTTCACTCAGCTCTCTGGAGGAAAGTGACGGCGTATGGAGGGATATCTCACTACGAAAGCGTGATCGCAAAAGTCCGGAGGACCTCACGACCTGAACCTATCTTCGGTGGAATTCTCGCAGATGATATGGGATTGGGTGAGCTGCCTGTTGAAAAACTGTCCCCTTCAAATGATGTGATGCGGTTCAAACAGGCAAGACAATACAGGTTCTGTCTCTCATCCTATCCAACGATCCCGATCGCGCTCTCCGAGCTGACAAGGCTGAAAGTGGATGCAAGCGAGCAAAGACACTGATTGTCTGTCCGGTTTCTGTCTTGACCAGCTGGGACTCGCAGATCGAAAGGCACATTGAGGATGGCAAGATGACCAAGATGGTACTCCACTCGAAATACCTGCAAAGAAGTTGCAACGTGTCCTCACGCAGTCTGTCTGATTACGATGTTGTTCTTACAAGCTATGAGACCTTGAGGAATCTCTATCAAAGATGGCTCTTGAATCGCAATGCAACACATGTCAAGAAGGACGGTGAGTTTGCATGTGGATCCTATCATCTTTCATCACTCTTGTATTATACAGGACGACGATCTTCGAAACAAGACATCATCGGAAACCAGAACATCGACATGTTCGACATGAGATGGTGGCGAGTAATCCTCGATGAAGCGCATTGGATCAAGAACAGGAAAACAAGAAGTCATCGAGCTTGTCTGCAACTGACGGCAATTAACCGGTGGTGTTTGACAGCAACGCCATTGCAGAATGATGTGGACGATATCCAGTCTCTCTTGCAGTTTCTTAGAGTGGAACCGCTCGACAAGTATTCTACCTGGCTGACATACGTCAAAAAGTGAAACCTCTTCTTTCCTCCTCCTCCTCCTCCTCCCTCCTCCTCTCACCTTTTCATTACGCTAATTCCGTTGGTTTTCCTTGACAGGCTCTTGAAGACGCAGGGTTCCCTCGGCATCACGCGACTGCGGGTGGTGATGCAGGCATTCTGCTTGAGGCGATCCAAGGCTCTCCTCGCTTCTTCTCTTCCTCCTCTCTCCATCCAGACTCACACTGTCCGTCTCCACGGCCATCACCTTGACATGTACAACTTGCTCTTCGAGTCCGCCAGCTCTGTCTTCTTTGCCCTCGACGAGCATGGAGGAGCAGCGGTCATGAGGAGGTACTCCTCAGTACTCGAGTGTATCCTCCGCCTCCGACAGACCTGCTGCTCCTCTCGCGGGGTCTCCCAGCAGAGGATGGAGAGGGCAAGGTACGTGTTGAGGTATATGGAGAGGAAGAAAGCGCAGCAGGCAGGAGACGAGGAGAACGCGACGAAGCTGCTCACGCGGGAGGAGGCGGACAAGATGTTGGAGAAGCTTTCTGGCAAGGAGGAAACCATGGAATGTGTCGTCTGCCTGGATGACCTCGACGAGGAGACGAAGCGGGTAATTCGCTCCTGCTGTCACTGCTTCTGCGAGGACTGTGTCATGAAGCTCCTGCAACTTTCTTCCGGCGGAGACGCTGTCTGTCCCCTATGCCGCGGCAAATTTTCAAAGGGCGACGTGTTCTCGGTAGAGCAAACGCGGGAGGCTCAACAGAACCTTGCTCGCAACGCATCCGACGAGGACGAGGACGGGGAGAGGCAGACGGATCGGGTGCAAGCGGAAGAGGAGGAGCGGGAAGAGGAGGAACAGAGGCTGAACCCCAAGATTCATGCGCTTCTCCTCGATGTGCAGGAGGCTCTGCAAGCAGACAAGACAGTCAAGTCTGTCGTGTTTTCCAACTTCCTCTCATGTTTGGATGAGACAGAAAGTGCCTTGATCGCTGCTGGCATCCCCGTCTTTCGTATCGATGGCAAGACCAGCATCGTCCAGCGCCGGCGGCTGATACAAGACTTCGACTCTTATCCTCAAGGCGCCCTGCTCCTCCTCAGCACCAAGGTCAGAATCCTTTCCATCTCCTTCCCCCTGCTCCCATCACCTCGCTCTGACCTCCAGCTAGGTGGGAGGCGTGGGGCTCTCGCTCACCATGGCGTCAAGAGCTTACATGATGGAACCATGGTGGAACGCGGCAGTTGACGAGCAGGCCATGCATCGGCTCCACCGCATCGGGCAGACGCGCCCAGTCACCATCATCCGCTACATGTGCCAAGGGACCATTGAGCAGAAGATCATGGAGATGCAGGAGAAGAAAGATTGGCTGGGGAAGGCGGCGATGATGAGGATGGCAGCCGACGAGCTGCTGGAAATGCGCCTGCGGCTGTTCAGGACGCTATTCCTGAGATAGAGTCAGGGATTTCGTGGCAGACGACTACTCGGTGAGAGACGACTACTCGGTGAGAGACGACTACTCGGTGAGAGACGATTACTCGGTGAGAGACGACTACTCGGTGGGAGACGACTACTCGGATCTGATGTGAAATTTATTCTTATGTTCATTCTGCTTCCACCAGCCTCGGAAGTCCCTGGGCGTCGCCGACTTCTCCTCTCTCAAACAAGAGGCTGCTGGAATCCGGCGGCCTGCTTTTGAGGCCGGCGGCTGCTTTGTTTTGCTTGAGGCACTTTTTACCTTCTGCCAGTAAATCCTTTATTCGGCGGCCTCCTAAACCAATAAAACCTAAAACCCTAAACCAAGCGCGAAGGCAAGCATAACAAAGCAGGAACAAGCTAAACCCGCTTGCACACAGCGCACAGCGAGAAGCTGCACAAACACACACAAAACACAAGCCCGAAAAGAACCAGCACTGCTGGCAGCAGGACGGATTTACTGGCAGAAGGTAAATGGCAACCGTCAGCAGACCCGGCATCGCCAGCCCAAGCGCGAAGCCGCGCAGACAAGCAGCCTAAGGGTCAAGCAATCAAGCAACAAGCAGCAGGAGCATGCAGGAGGAATAACATCCCTTAGACGCGATACCCGGAGGCAGCCGACTGACCACTGTCAGTCGAGACGTCCGCTGCCGCCACAAAGCGGGCGGCCGCGGACGGAGAAAGGGCAGCCGCCGACAAGGAGCCGGCGTTGCCCGGGGGTCCGCCTGGGGCAGCGGACGGAGGGAGGCTGGACACAGGAGCACGGTACCGCTCGAGGTAGTCCTCTTCGCTAGCCTCGGAGTCAGCGGTAGCCGAAACCAACACCGTGGTGTCGAGCTCTCCGGAGGCACCCGACGTCACAGTGAGGGACGGAGACGCCTCGCCAGCTCCGCGCCAAGGCGAAGTGTTTCCCCCATCGGAGTCGGAGACCTCCGGCGAAGACTCCTCCTCGGGCGACTCGACAAAGTCCGAGGAGGAGCTGTCCTCGGGCTCGAGAAGTGCTTGTGCCCGCAAGGGCGTCATGCGCCTCGCACCCGGAAACAAGAGCGCCTCCAGTGTCAGCTGCATAGTGAGGCAATCCGTATTCCAGAGGGGCTGATAGGTGGCGGCGCGTTTGCGAGCTAAGACCTGAGCAGCAGGTCCGTACGCGGCCGCCAGCTTTGCTGACAGTGGTCAGTCGGCTGCCTCCGGGTATCGCGTCTGAGGGATTTTCTTCCTCCTGCATGCTCCTGCTGCTTGTTGCTTGATTGCTTGACCCTTAGGCTGCTTGTCTGCGCGGCGGGCTTCGCGCTTGGGCTGGCGATGCCGCGTCTGGTCATCTTGCGGCCATGAGGATGGGAGGGTACCTGCCGTCGAGGGATTTTATTCCTCCTGCATGCTCCTGCTGCTTGTTGCTTGATTGCTTGACCCTTCGGCTGCTTGTCTGCGCGGCTTCGCGCTTGGGCTGGCGATGCCGGGTCTGCTGACGGTTGCCAGCAGTGCTGGTTGTTTTCGGGCTTGTGTTTTGTGTGTGATTGTGCAGCTTCTCGCTGTGCGCTGTGTGCCAGGAGGGTTAGCTTGTTCCTGCTTTGTTTTGCTTGAGGCACTTTTTACCTTCTGCCAGTAAATCCTACTTTCGAGAACGAGAGTCCCCTCGAGCGTTCATCCCTCTTGCCATCTCGACGGACGGTACCCTGAGGCACTTTTTACCTACTGCCAGTAAATCCTACTCCATCTGCATCCTGACACCCTCCGCTTC